TAATTTATCCTTTTTAAAATTATTTTTCAAAATAAAATAAAATTAAAATTTGTTTGGTTTTGTCAATTAAAAGATAGTTTTAAAATTAAAAAAATAGATTGATAATGATAGTTATAATTAATTAATGTTGGTAATTGATAATAAAAATTGGTCAAAGTAACTATAATTTTTAATAATCAAATGTAGTATATTTTAAAAACAACAAAAATAAAACATAAACAACTTGAAGCTATTTTTATTTTTAATAAAAAATAAAAATAATAAAAAAATTAAATAAAAAATACTTATTCAAATAAATTTTAAAATTTTTTTGTTTTCAAAAATAATAAAAAAATTGTTATAAAAAAAGAAGAAGAAGAAGAAGCAAACCGGTCTAAGAAGCAGGGAAGGAGTTGGTGTAAGCCAAGAGAAACAAATCGAAAGGGTTGGGCCTGCACGTCTGGAGACAGCAGAAACGAGACACATGTAAACGGGCGCGCGCAAGGGGTTAGGGTAAAGAAGGAGAGAAATTGAAAGATCAACTCATGCTGCCACTTTTTTTTTTCTTGCAAAAAGAGGGGAATACTTATTCAGAGAAGCACATGTACAAAACAACGCCGAGCCTTGAGATAAAGATCACAGTAATTAAGAATCTAAAGCCTAATAGACCATACGGCAATTACGTTACGTCCGAATCAAAATGTTGAAAAGTTTCCCCGGCTTTGACGAGTCTTGTGGAAGTCGGGAGCGCGCGATCGAGACCTTGAACAGATCAATCCGCCCTTTGTTTAGGCCATCAAAACCTCAAATTCGCATTGGACGCCTTTGGCGAAAGACGACAAAATTAAATTTCCCTTTTTATCCCCACGTCGGCCAACGCGGCCAGTGCGGGCACATTCACTGCCTTCTTCCTTCCGGCTTGCGGGCCATTCCTCCGCTCCCCCCCCCCCTCTTTTGTCAGTCACACCTCCCTCTCTCCCTCCAATTCAGAATGAATGGAACTACACATGTGAATTGGATAAGGATGCCAAACAAACCGGTGACACAAGCAACCCAATGAAAAACCAAGCTTATGGTATTGTATTGACTTAATGGAAGAGCGAGGGATTTTTGTGGGGAACATGTCAAACATAAGTAGAGATTGAAAGGACGAGACCACAATGCATGGGACGTGTGGTCTAAACCCACATTCTCACAGGGCCCCCTCCTCATGTCCCCCCTTATCCAACACTTGTGCAGCTTTCCCAGTCCTCCCTCTCCTCTCTCCCCCTTCTTTTTCTTCCCAAATCATTCAAATCTCTTTCGCTCATCACTCTTAATTAATTGTCCTTTCGTTTTACCTTTTCTGCTTCCCTTTCCTTCCTCTCGTAACTGTGACAGCTACGTACATTTCCCACTCTCGACTCAAATCCCATGATTTCTCCGCTCTTGAACGTCTCTACACCATGGTCCTTGTCCGTCTAAACATCAAACATTGGAACGTTATATCTGTTGTAAAAATAAGCATCTTGTTCATGCATGAGATTCCCTATCTCAATACTACTAATTGAGTGCATGTTTTGCAAGCTACTAGCTTGCTGGTCGTGGAAGCTGTGAGCCGTTAGAGGGAAAGAAAGACGTACGAATTGTATAGGAAACAGAGAAAGTGGTGAAGAGAGATAAGTCATACTCATACATGCTCCAAAAGGAATAAATGGAGATTCTCTGTTGGAGCTTTTCTTTTCTCATAATGGATGGTCCCCGCCTTAAAAGCAATGCATGTATATTATATAAAAATAACAATACATACCCACAGGGTAGGTCACTTGCTCAAATGCCAAAAATGAGGTTGATTAGAACCCCGAAGGAGGAGGGGATTCAAAACCTGCTGACAAATTAAAGCTTCATGTGGGCGGGCAAGAGATTCTTTGTCCGCGACATATATTGTCTCCGGCCATGTGGGGCGGTTCTAATTGGAGAGAGAAGACAGCCACAATATTAAAGCCCACAAAAAACCATGACGATCAAAGGTGAGAGTACCACTGATGGATCATTTCTGTTGCCAAGACTAGCTACTCTCTAGTACAAGAAAAGGTTGGAGGCGATCCTCCTTGGGATTTTGCATGTTTAATTACTAGCGAGCCTTTACTACAATGAACTCATTAGGCTTCCACTTTAAGACTACGAGCATAATTAAATAGGGTTTATTTCCCTGTGCCGTACACTAATTCTAGATATTCCCAAACGAACGTACATGTGGTCTTTCTGATATTATAATTAACCCCGACCGACAGTTACGTCATTACTCGAAATTTGTGATCATGTGTGATCAAGTTAATTAAAAGAAGGGATATTAATATTATTCATTCATTCATTATTGTTGATCTTGCTATTTTTTACCTGTATGCTGATGTTGTTGGTGTTCAATTCAAAGTTAAAGAAAAAGGCATAACTACAATCCATAGCGTCACTGATAAAACGCCCCTTTTCAACCTTAATTGGTTTTAAATAGTTCCGTGCATCTATGATTTTCTTTTTTTTTTTTTTTTTTCTTTTTACACCAATAGTGCATCTATGATTTCCAAGCTAAGGAAAACGATAACAAATAATGACTCGGATGCACTGTGCACAAAGCCCTCAGTCCTCAGATCATGTCACGTGCACGAGCGCGCATATAGTCAGACAGACATACGTACGTACTATGCTAGATAGACATAGCAGACCCCAACACCAATTTGCAGAGCAAGGCCCTATCTCTAAAACAATTGTACGCAGGAGGCCACGTCAATGTTATCACTTGCTACATCTCTGCTGGGGGAAAAATATAATTCACATGTAGACGGAGCCCACTGTCAGTTTTCAAATAGTGGTTAGCATTATATGTGAATCATGGGAACCCTTAACTCTATATTTCGGCTGATCGCAAAACATATGTCTAGGCCATATATCTATCTCTGAATTCATGGAGGTGCGCAAAATTTGATGGCATGAGAGAGAGCTCTGCAGTTGTGTAACCCACACAAATCAACAAACAAAACAAAATATCAGCAATAACAATGAGTTTCGGCAACGGTTTGATCACTTTCTTGTGTTTTTCATCCAAACAAAGCATTAGTCAATATCAATGACTTTAGTGGTGATTCATCTATCACAGACAGTACAGCAACGGTTTGATCAAGTTCTGATGTTTTTCACCAATCACTGCTTTATTTAACTACTGAAAGTTTAATTGCTGGTCTAAACCTCCTCTAGAACACAAAATAACCGTCATTATATTAAAACTCGTATCTTTTTGTAATGGTGCTGGGATATCGAAGATACACGGTCCCAGAGCAGAACTGTGCACCCGAATAGCACCGAAGAGAAGATGTGGCATATCCAAGTCCACTAATGCATTACCCCAAAGTCGTGGTTCAAATATCTTGACTATGGACAAAGACCTTCATTCTAATCCATTAAAATAGTCATGATCTCTGTATAATTTTTTATTTTATGCCATCACTTTAATTTCTCAATCAGCCGCCGACCTAACATTTGCTTGGGGGGAATAAAATAGTAGGGTTTGGGCATAAGCGATGATTAACGCTAATAGAGCAGCCGTACGTACATTTATTGGCGTAATTAGTTTGGTCTTCAGATATAATTTCAAAAACAATTGAATTTTTGAAATAAATACAAAAATAATAAATCAAGATAATTGCATATTAATAAGCGCAAATGTGTCCTGAAATTTTTCTGTGAGCTAGGAACGCCTAGCCTGGTATTCTTAACTTTTTGTTTAACATAATTTGATCCTATTTGAAATTTTCTCTTCACTTTTTACCTCCTCAAACGCATTCATATTATCATACATATAATAACGCATACAACCGTATCAAATATAATGGACAAGCCTCTCGGTAGACCAAATTTCAGACAATTGTGTTTTTTTTTTTAAAAAAAAAAAACAAACAAACAGGCATACACACACGCACGAGCCAACATTTGGGCATATGTCAAGGATCATAAACTAACAAGCACAGTCGGATTTATGACGTGCATATCTGACAAAGGGCCCCTCTTCGGGCACCTACCAGTTCGATAAAACTAACCACAATCACACACTTTTTTTCTTTTTTTGACCGAACCACAATCACACACTTCAATTCAATATTCCGCAATTGTTCCATGGGTGCAATTATTAGCATTTAATGAATATATTATTAGTGTTATTCAAAGTGGCAGTGGCCTGTTCTATGATTTTGAATGTTTTTTTGTCGTGTCTATCAAATTCTCCCCTTGCTTGATCGGGAGGGGATCGAGACATCGAGTCATGTATAATAATGGGGCTGAAGTCATACTCAGTTCCTTTTCATCCACCACGTAATGCAGGACTCGAGTCTCAAGCTTGTAGTTGCTCTTCTTGTCTTCTTATGTTGGAATTTAACTTTCCTATAATACATGTATGGATTCATTTGATCTTATTTTGTCACTTTCCTAAGTTCTTCTATCAAGATGGAACACCCCCAACGGACCAGATTTCCAAAGCCTTTTTAAATTTTCAGGTTAGTGCAAACTTGTAACCAATAAAAACGTTGATTTTCACTCCAAAAAATGAAACGTCGATTTAAGGATATTTAGTTTGGGCTAACTGCTGATCCGTTGTAAGCCCAATGGCTTTGTTAGATTCGAATGCCCTTTGTGTTTATTAACCAACTTGGGATTTCACGATTTGGCATTGGCTATCAACAGGACGTATTGGTGTCGGGTGAGCCCCATGTAGTTGGATCAAGCAATCACAACTAATTTCAAACATGGTTGGTGCGGAATGACATCTGCCATGATGAAAATTACACTTGTTGAAGGAAACTCTGCCTGCAGTGGCCAAATCCTCAACATATTGAGCAATATTAATATAAACGGACGGTTGCTTGTCAAAGCTAGGCGGCCAAGAAACAATAAATATCAACACCCAAAATTAATATAATTAACATCAAAGCATGTTTCTCCACAGTATACCAACTACAATTTTTTATGGATTCTCACAATAGGCTGTTGGTGTCGTCCTATTTATGGAGGTTGCATATGGAGCAATAATAGCATAGAGAGCAAGGGAAGAAGCAGAAATGGTGTCAGAAACAGAGAGCAAGAAGCACTTTGTACTGGTGCATGGATCTTGCCACGGTGCTTGGTGTTGGTACAAGGTCAAGCCACGTCTGCAATCAGCCGGCCATCGCGTCACGGTGCTGGACCTTGCAGCTTCAGGCATCCACCCCTCCAAAATCGAAGATCTTGGCTCCTTGTTGGATTATTCTCAGCCTTTGCTGAAGCTGTTGGCGTCCCTCCCTCCCGACGACAAAGTAGTTCTAGTCGGACACAGCTTTGCCGGCATGAACTTAGCCCTCGCCCTCGACCTCTTCCCTCACAAAGTAGCCCTTGCTGTTTTCTTAACGGCCTTCCTCCCAGACACCCATCACTCTCCTTCCTATGTCTTGCGAAAGGTACACTCCCGACATTCTTGATTTCGTTTCTTGTTATCATCAGTACTGACTTTATAACATGGTCGATCAGGATTTGAATTTTAAGGTTTTGTGTTTCTCTATGGACAGTTTCTGGAGACGATCCCGACCGATGCAGGGTGGTTAGACACGGAGTTCTCTAATCACGGGACCTTGCGAACTCTGTTGTTTGGTCCCAAGTTCTTGTCCTCCAAGCTCTATCAACTCTGCTCCCCACAGGTACTGATCGGAGCTGCTTCCTGCTCTTTTGCCTCGTTCACTTTCTCACAAACTTACGTACTGTTACCGAGGAGGAAGATTAAACTTTTTGCAGGATGTAGAATTGGCTAAGGCATTAATGAGGCCAGCATCCTATTTTGTGGACGACTTGTCTAAAGCCAACAACTTCTCTCAGGAGGGATACGGGTCCGTTCCACGAGTTTTCATTACTTGCAACGAGGACCTGACGATCACGATAGAGTTTCAGCACTGGATGATCCATAATGCTGGAGTTAAAGAGATTCTGGAAATCAAAGACTCAGACCACATGCCTATGCTTTCTAAGCCCCAGGAGCTCTGCGACGCTCTCCTCCTCGTTGCTTCTAAGCATGATGCTTAGATTAAATTAATGTGGTTTGCGGTGTTCTTATTTCATTTGCTTATCAGCTTGTCACTGGAGACCGGGAGGCATCAATAAATTAATTGGATTATCGTGTTCACAAAACGGTAATTGAAGTCAATATCAATTTATCAATAAAAATTATGGTCCACAACTCCCTTAAATTCCTCCCCCCCCCCCCCTATTTTGAGTGTTGTGTGAGGCCCATTTCTATATGGAGGCCGAGAAAGCCTCAACAACACATTAAATCGTAGCTTAATTAGATGGCAACTCTACACAGAGACACAATGAGTAGGCGACACACTATAAATATTAGTGTTTGACAAAAATGTGCAAGGCGCGCTAGAAAATAAACAGTCGCAAATGCGTGATCTGACTCCTAAATCTTAATCTGCGATATGGTCTTTGGATTCACTTGCCAGTTTCCTCAAATATTTAAGACGCAGACGAAAATGTAAATGCAACGGAAAGTAAAATTATTTAATCAAATGCAAGGGGTGGCGGGCTAATTTAGCAACACAATGAGAATATGAAAGGAGTATAATCCCATGGGGGCTAAAAGAAAGGAAAATGGCTCTAGGAACGGTAAAGTAATCAAGTGTTGAGAAGTTGAGAGTAACGACGAATGTCTGATGAATGATTTCGATGATGATGATGGTTGCCTCCCTCATTAGCCTATTTATAGGTATTGGCTGGCTCCTGTTACTTTGGTTGTGCACATCCATTAATACTCCCAGTCATAAGGAGGTCATGCAGAAATAATCCGAACTGTCCAAATTTAGTTTGGATCATTTAGACATCTGCGTGATCCAAATTTAAATTTATAAAATTTAATTAATTTATTAATTATTAATATTTGTAATTTAAAAAAATAATATTAAATTTAGATTGATTTGATAAAATATGAAATGTACATATTGATAATTAATAAATTTATTCAAAATTTTATAAATTTTTGTTTTAAAAAATAAAAAATATTTAAATCTACATCATTGAAATTAAATTTAAATATTCTAAATTAGTTTAGATGTTTATGATCCCTAATGAGTAAGGAATGTGCTCCCCATATTCTCTCAATCCTTCCCACCTCACTCTTCTCATGATTGGTGGTCGCTTGGGAGATCTTGAGTTTTGCTCCTTCTTGCTCTTATTTGGCTACTTTGATGCCCAACTCACATTTCACCTTAGTATCCAGAAGGAAAAATTACATACAAGTCCTACTAAAAGATAATTAATTACTTTCAGATTTATTGACAACTGAGTTTGCATTGTCATTCTCCTAAACTCAGTTGTTAATAGACTTGGGAGTAATTAATTGTCTTGAGTATGACCTTAAAGTAGTTATGCCTAATTAAAAATCCTTGACAACATCTAATCTTAGAAATAATTTTGAATTTCTAAACTAGTATGGTCATCATTTTAAAAATAAATTTCAAATAACATGTAATAGATAAATTGCTATTATTAAATTTACCATAATTTGTGGTAATCTATTAAATAATCAAATTTCAAATCAATTCTTTTTAGGCAAGAAAAGTGTAATTGTTAACAGTGGTAAAGCAATCTTTATGAGAATATATATGAAAAGTGCAAATAGAATCAAGAATCCAATCAATTCTATTTCTTCTATCAATAGAGGAAAGAGACAACAAAACATCACCATTTGATTCTGTCTCAACAACACTAGCTTTAGTAGATGATTTTTGAGATTGCTTATTTTGTTTTCCTCTTTCACATTTCTTTTTAAGACCATAACACTAAAATATTTCATGAATTGACTTTTACAATAATTGCAAGTTTTATTATTGTTGTTGGATTTATAACTTCTCGACTTAGATCTAAATTTTTTGGTTCTTCTTTCTTCATCACTTCTCCCCTTCACATTTAAACCAAAAGTAAAAATAAATAACATATTTGGCAAATAATATAGTATAATAATGTTTTTGACCTTGATCTGGTCTTAATAATTAAAGAAAACTGAATATCCAAACATTTAACTCGTCCCTGTCTTACATTTATATATATATATATATATATATGTATATATATTTTCTTGGTAAATGATGTTTTACATAAACTCATACTAAGTGACATGATGGTGAATAAGACACGAAGATGGTTATAGAAAAAGTGGAAGGAATGCATTATGTTCTGGATCATAGCTGTGGCCACGAAGCATGGTGTTGGTACGAGCTCAAACCACTCCTACAATTGACCGGCCATCGGGTCACGATGCTGGACATGGCAGTCACTAGCATCCACCTTAGTAAAATTGAAGACGTGTCATCTATGTCAGATTACTCTCAGCCTTTGTTGAAGCTGCTAGCCTTCCTCCCGACTGACAAAAAGGTAGCTCTGGTCGGCCATAGCCTCGAAGCCATGAGCTTGGCCCTCACCATCAACTAGTTTCCTAACAAGGTGATAGGGGACGTGAAAGCAAAATTATGCTAATTTAGAGATAGAACCCTAAAACATAATAAAAATACAAAAACACAAAGAAATGGATGAAATTTATGAAGAAACAAAGAAAAAAATGAAAATCAAAAGGATAGGGATCAAAGAGAAGATCATCTAAAGTACTTGCCTTTGAAAACCTCAACTTTCATAAACATCACAAGAGTTGATCAAGGTCTTGATCATGTCTGTTTCTCATGCGAGATACCACCACCAAGCACTTAGGCTCGCAAGAGTTATAAATTCTAAAATAAGTAATTTTATTTAACTGCTCTTCTTTCAACAAGATGAAGCGTGTCTAATATATATAAGCTCATAAAAAAACTATTTTTTAAGATTAAAATTTTAATTTCCTAATACTAAAAGGGGAATGAAAATAATATAAAATAAAGGAGAAAATATTTAGTCATATAATTTAAGAGATTTGATCCTAAAATTATTACAAAACTTAAAAAATAATATAATTAATCATATTCTTTGACTAGACTTAAAATAGAAAACTATGACTAGTCTTGCTTCTTAAGAAAAGAAGTCAAGTTAAAGGACCATCAAGTTAGGAAGCAATTGAGGAGACAATTAAGGAATTATAAGGGACTTAAAATATGCCACCCTTGACCTCTTCACTAAAGGTTTCAAACCTCCTTGCTTGTAAGGGGCTTTACTTGTAGTTTTTCTTGCATTGGACTAGGGTTTACGCCTCTTGGGCTTAACTCTTCATGAATTTAGATTTTAAGCACATTATACACATCTAGATGCTCTCCTTTGGGTTTAAGAAGCGTATTCTAATGCTTTTCAATCTCTTGGACTTTTTGCTCAAGACTAAATAAAGCTTATTTCATGCTTTAGTTTGAGCTTTTGTCATTAGTCCTCCAATATATTGTAAAAGGGTCCTTAGGCATGTTGAATTGAAAGTGTTAAGCTCCTTGTTCCTTACTTTAGGCTCCTTTCATACCACCATGCTCATGCTGCCATGCCATTAGTGCTTGAAGTCCATCACAAGGTGTCCGTTGCCATTTTCTCAATCGCTTTTCTGCTCGACACCCATTGTAACATCCCAATTTAAATTTTAATAGTTAATTTGGGTTAATAGAAATTTAAAAAAAATATTTAGAGGTAAATAAATTAGTAGAAAATGATCATTAAATCTAACTTAGGATATAATTCTAAATTAAATGTTTTTAAAAAAAATTAATTAAAAAAAATTATTATTAATTAATTAAAAAAATATTATTAAATTATTATTATAAAAAAAAGGTATGCAAAAAAAAAAGAGAGAGAAGAAGAAAAAGAGAAGTTTGCTTTGGCCGCCGCCTCAATAGTAACAATAGTAAAATAATAATAAAAAAAAAAGAAGAAGAAAGAAGAGAGAGAAAAGAATAAAAAAAATGTGTGGGACCCACTGAATTTTTTATAAAAACTCACCTGTTCCTTCATTCCTTCTTTTCCTGCGCGCGAGCTGAGGCAGAGAGAAGCAAGTCACCGATGCAAAATATCTAAATTTTTAAGGTAAGAATTTTTAATAGGATATTTAGGGTGTGATTTTAAGCTTTTCAAGACTAAGTAAGTGTTCTAAAATTTTTTCTTAGTCATCCTTCTTCTTTAGTTTCTGAGTTTGTAGTGGTAGAAAATTTAAGATCTGGAAGAGGGATGAATTTATGTTGAATAAATATGGTTTTTGAGGTTGTCAGTAGTATAATAAATGTTCTAGAGTATAAATTTATTGATGATCTTTGAATCTGTGGCTTATGGATCAAATTCTAGACTATATCTGAAAATATATGTTGATTTATTGAGGTTTAGATGATTATTTGGGATGAGAAATGAATTATTATGGCTATAGGATTATGATTCTAAGCTAGAGACTTAATTTTAAATTTTTGGGTATTTTAGGTACGAATTTATGAAATAAAAAGAAAATTTTGATAATAAAAATTAGTTTAGAAGTTGATTTTTAGATTATTAATGTTTATTGATAATTAAAAGAGGAGTTAAAAATTTTACTTAATAGTATTGACTCTAGATTTGTATTAAGATTGAGATTAAAAATTATGTTATATTTTGGAATTATTTATTAGTTTCAAAAATTGAAACTAATATTTATAAATAATATGTTATTTGTAGATTGTATTACTAGTGAAGATTGTGGTGAGAGAGAAATTTTAAGGAATAATTTATTGAAAAAGCCACGAGGTAACCATGCTTTTAATTTGTGATTAGTGTTACTTCTTGTTAATTGGGTGATTATTGAGAAAATTATGAATTTTGTAATATTGTATAATTGTGCAAGATTATTATGAATTTGTTTAATTATTGTGGGAGGTGTTGGGAGACTTGCTATTATTGTTGTATTTATGTGCCACGTGGTACGCACCTATTGGAGCTCAATAGGTGGCTTGTAAGGGCTCGGGCTAATCTACCTTTGGCCGCCGTAATTTAGCACCGAGTGAGGGCTACGGCTCGAGGTTAATGGAGGGATATAAGGATGGTTGTTTGTGTGTATTGTATTATTTCTTATATTTATTGGAATTATATTATTTTTAATTCTCACTTAGTAAACACACACTTAACTGTTTGTATACACTATCATAAATTGGCTTTGGTTACTGAAACTTTTGAGTCTCATTATGTGGTTAATAATTTTCAGGAGAAGAGCCACGAGTGACACGTGGAGGAGTCCCAAAGGCTTAGTGATATAGATCCACTGTCTCTTTTGGGTATTTAATTTATGATTTATAATGTGTTATATTGCTAATATTAGGGCTTTTTGTTTATTGTCAATTATATGAATATATAAATGTAATCATACTTTTCAAACTACTTCTATTTTTGGTACAATTTAGATGACTGTAATTTTAATATTTGGTTTACTTTGAATTGGTTAAAATGGCATGATTATAAGACCAAATAACTGGCTTGTGTTGAAAATTGACTAAATTGCTTATTTTACTTGTTGGGAGCATAAGGATGGACAAATGTGATTTAATTTATTTGTTGGGAGTATAAGGATGGACAAATGTGATTTAGCCTAATGGCATGTGGGAGGTAAAAATTTATCTGAAATGTTATAGTGTGTGAGTTGAAGCCAATTATAAAATATTTTATATCGAAATTATTGATATAAAAATGTGTTGGGTGGCTGTAACCCAACTATGGTTGAGTTAAATTATTTAAAAAAAAATTTGGTGTGTTACACCCATCACAAACCATTCTATGTTATGAAACAGGTATGCGAGCCTCTGATCATCATTCTCAAACAATAATCTCGATTCATATCTTAGATAATGGACTTTTCTTTTCCAACAGTTTATGGAGAGCATGACAACCTCTGGAGGGCAGGGCACCAAATTCTCCGAATGTAGAGGCAAAACAATGTTGTTATTTGGTCCTCAGTTCTTGTGCTTAAAGCTCTATCAATCGTGCTCCTCACATGTGCGTATGTAGATGTGGTTGCTTCCTCTTTTAGCTCTAATTTTAATTGTTGGTGGATGAGTTTTTGTAGGATATTGAATTAGGGAAGGTGTTGTTCCAGTCAGGGTCATTCTTCATTAAAGAGCTCTCTAAGGCCAACAACTTGTCTAAAGAGGGATACGGGTCAATTGCTGTGTTTTCATGGTGTACAATGAAGACTTGACCATCCTACTGGAATTTTAGCAACGGATAATCCAAAACTTTAGCATTCATGAGACTCTGGAGATCAATGAGTCTAATCACATGCCTATGCTTTCCAAGCCCCAGGAAGTTTATGGTGCTCTCCTGCAGATCGCTTCCAAGTATGCTTAACTTGATTAATTAGTGCATGCTTTTTCTAAGTTCTACATACCTCTCTTTTTAGTTCATTTCTGTTTAGTACCACACTACATACAGTAACGGGATGCAATTAAGTGTTTGTTTGATTTTTAATTTGCCAAAACTTCATTTAACAAAAGTTAGTTCAGTGAAAGTCGGTTATTTTAATGAAAATTGTGTTTGAATATATTTTTTCTAAAATCAATTTTGCAAACTAAAAGTTGTTTGAATTAATGATGATTTGTGCTTTTAAAATGTGTTTTTAAATATACAATGACAAAAAAAGATATTGATTTATGATTATTTATAATTTTTGTTATATAGATATAATATATTATAAATGTTTAAAAAATGTAAAAAATTTAAATTAACATAATATTTAATAAGTTAAATAATAAGAATAAAAAAATATATAGCTTAATATGTTTAAAAAATTATGTAATAAATAATTCAGCATTCATTAGTATTGAATGATAACATGATTGATGGTTCGATCTATAATGTATAATTTAGTCTCTAATTGAATTCAGAAATACTCATCTAGTCCTATTTAAAAAATTTTTAAAACTCATTAACTCTATCTTAAAATTTAATAAATTTTTAAATTTATCAATATTAAATATACATACTTTAGTAACATATTTTCTTTATCCAATATTCAATGAAGGGTAAAAAAATTTATAATAAAAATTTAATAATGTGACTTATAAATAGAGTAAAAAAAATTCTTCTCTTTTTGCCCTATAAAAAGGACCAGAGGAAGTATATTCATTTATTTATCAAAAGCCACACCTGGAGGAGAAGGGTGGAGACAAGAAAAAGCTCAAAAATACTCATATCGTCCTATTTATAACTCACTTTTAACATGTTTTACTAATATAAAAAAAATTTTAAAACTCATTGACTCTGTCTTAAAATTTAATAAATTCTTAAATTTATCAATATTAAATATACATACTTTATTAACATATTTTCTCTATCCAATATTCAATAAAGGGTAAAAAAAATTATGATAAAAATTTAATGATGTGACTTATAAATAAAGTAAAAAAAATTTTTCTCTTTTTGCCCTATGAAAAGGACCAGAGGAAGTATATTTATTTATTTATCAAAAGCCACACTTGGAGGAGAAGGGTGGAGACAAGAAAAAGAGAATCAAAGGAGAGGTGAACTTATAGTGCACAAAGAAAAAATAAAAAAAAGAGTAGTATGATCGTTTACAAAATTATGCCCCCTCCTTAAATGCTTTAACTCCCATTTGACATTTCAAATCCAATTCTCACTTGCTTTGGAAAATTCACTTCCAAACCCATTTTTAATCTACATTTTAAAAGTCACTTTGCTTCCTTAAAAAACTCTCAAACAACTTTTAACATTTGAAAAGCCAATAAGTACTTTTCAAATGCCAAATGCCCCTTACCCAGGCGGATCTAAAGCGTGTTTCCTCGAGCCTGCAAAAATGTAGACTCTTTGTACAACTGTATATCAGATTCTGCGTAATTTTCATTTTTAATTTGTAGCAACAATTATGACTCGAATTTTGCATGAATAAATACAAAATTGATATTCATTCTTGAAGTCCTGAGCAAGGTGAAATTGAAAGTGGCAACGATGTGTCCGTGGAAGTTATCAAAATCAGGGAGGGCAGTCTCATTGGTGGTGTAGAATATAGATTGGCCTCTATAAACTATCCGCACATCAAATTCTAAGCCTTTTATTTGGATTTAAATTTAAAACTAAACTGCCATTCTTTCTCTTATTTCTATAGCAAGACACGACAAATAGACATGTTTGTGGACGGAGAAGCTTGCCAAAGGCCAATTTTGCTTGGCTCTTGTAATAAATGTGAAGTTATACATGTCAATAAATATTAAAAATGTATTTCTATTACTTATTAAATAAAATTTCATAGTTTAGAATAGAGTTTTAAAGGTTAGGAGTGTAATTGTAAGAATTATGTGTGAACTGATCTTTTTAAGTCGATGAGGAGCCTAATCACAACTTTTTAAATTTACTTTGTGAAGAGGGTCTTGAGTCTTGACACCTGATGCCCAAATAATTTGAATATCTTATCTGTATTTGAAATGTCATCATAAAAATTCTCCTCTGCTACTCCCCTCCCATTTTGGACACTCACGGGATTATATTGATCTTCAATATTCTTGTTTCTAAGGATTAATTACTATGGGATTGTATTGATATTCAGGGATTTGATTCAATAACTAGAACGCGAAATTAAGTAGGTTCTAAATTCTAATACATTCAAATGGTTCAATTCAATGTGTTCATTTTGACTTCAATTTTTTCGATCGCCAATCTCGAAACTATGTATCTTGGTCGCACCCTTTAAAGTCATTTTTGGCTGCCTCTCCTAACACTACTCCATGGCCAAGAGCAACACGCAACTCTCTATTTTTCAGGTTTTGGGAATAAAACAATAAATTATTAAATTTTCCAACATTTGTTTGTTTCCAGATAGCAGAAGCAACCAAAAAGATTGTCGCTTCTCTGACCCAACTCCGTTGCCAGGAAAGATGCAACTCTACATTTGGGATGCTGGAATAAAAAATATTATAATTTCCAAATGGTTGGATCTGCTGCTGCTGGTGCTAGAAATTATCTCCTTTAAATATTGATGGCAAAGAATAAAGTAACAACTTAATAGGAATAAATTTCTAGAAAGATTAAAAGAAGTTTTAAATTTTTTAATTCTAATAACATATATTTAATGTGATTTATAAATGTATTATCCGAAGGGAGAACGTACATGCCTTTTGCTGACCCAGGGCCCTCTTTGTTTGATCCACTTTGCCAACTTCATTGACTTTTACTTATAAATTGGTCTTCACCACTTGGGCTTCAGAATCAGATCTGACACGCTTCTTCTTTGCTACATGTCTCCTCTATCCAGGGAGAACACGGATCCGGAAAACATGGAGAACAAGCACTATGTTCTGGTGCATGGTGCTTGCCATGGAGCATGGAGCTGGTACAAGCTCAAACCTCGTCTCGAATCCGTCGGCCACCGTGTCTCCGTGCTGGACCTGGCGGCTTCCGGCATCTACCCCTGCAAAATCGAAGATCTCGCAACCATGTCTGAATACTCTGCGCCCTTATTGAAGCTGTTGGCCTCCCTCCATCCCCATGAAAAGGTGGTTCTTGTGGGTCACAGCTTAGCAGGCTTGAACTTGGCTGTCGCCATTGACCGATTCCCTGACAAGGTCTCGCTCGCCGTTTTCTTGGCTGCTTTTATGCCCGATACCATTCACAAGCCATCCTATGTCCTGGAACAGGTATGCTTCTCTCTCATCCTCGACACCAAGTAATTTACTGTATACTGAATATTTTATATGCTCACGTTCGTCTTGGATCGCACTTTTCTTCATGAAACAGTACATTGAGAAGATGCCAGCCCAGGGATGGATGGACACACAGTTCCGTGAATGTGGAAGCATAACGACCATGTTTTTTGGACCCCAGTTCTTGTCCTCCAAGCTCTATCAACTCTCTCCTATGGAGGTATTTAATTTTATCTCTGCTTGTTTAATTTTAGGGTACAAGATGATGCTCTGTAATTCTTTTCCCCTTCTTCTTCCGCGAGATTGGAAGGAAATCTCCGAAAGTGAAAATAAGTGGGCTTTGATGCGAGGACGAGTGGGAATTTAGGTTGGAAATGGAATTGAATTTTATTGCAGGATCTTGAATTGGCGAAGGTGCTGATTAGGCCAGGATCCCTGTTCGTTGAAGACTTGTCTAGAGCGAAGAATTTCTCTAAAGAGGGATACGGCTCGGTTCCGCGTGCTTACATTGTTTGCAATGAGGACGAGGCAATTCCGACGAAATTTCAGCGATGGATGATCCAGAACTTTGGGGTTGATGAGACTGTGGAAATCAAAGACGCGGATCATATGGCCATGCTTTCCAAGCCTCAAGAACTGTGCAGTGCTCTCCTGGCGATAGCTTCTAAGTTCTAGGCATGATTGGATTTATTCATGTCGTTGCGATGCATTTATGTGGTCCCTCTTTTAAAAGGTTCTCAGTGGAGACAACAAGAGGTAAATGAAGTGGGGGCTTCTGCGAACTTCTTAGTTTTAGCTACCCCATAGGAGAGTGTCTCTGACTCTGACTCTGCTTAATTTTCTTTTCTCTGACTTCTAAGGAGGAAAGATTTGAATTTACAAACTATACCCAACATATTCTACCGCTAATTCACGCCAAAAGACTCCAAAGTCTCCGATATCCTTGAACGGAGAACGGCGACATGACGGCGAGTGAGGCCATGTTTGTTACAACTTTTGCCCTCTCAAAAGCTCTTTTGAAAAATAAGAAACTGTGCGCGCGTATATTTTTTCAAATTACAAAATCTATTTTAAAAGTTTTTTTTATTAAAAGTTTATCTCAGTTATTTTCTAAAAATTATTTCTTTGAATTACTTGTCAAATAACTTTTAATATGTTGAACTGAGCCGAATTATAAATTGTTACATTAACTAATGTTTTTTCCTTAAACTAGCTTTTAACTAATTAAAAATCAAAGGCACACCTACCAATGGAATTGATTAAAAAATAAAAATAAAAATAAATTAAAATACCCCATCCTTCATGTTAAGCATGAAATTTAAATTCTCTAAAGTTAGAAATGCTAAATTTATGTGAAGTTTTTCTTTTTAAGAGGGAGGAGATAATGTTTTATAAAAACTAATAAAATGAGCAACAATATATACTAAAAAGGAAAGTTTCATGTAAATTCATCAATCTCAATTTTGAAGGATTTTGATTCGCAAATGCAATAAAACTCAATAATACGAGTTACAAATGGGGTAATTATTGTACTCACTGTAAATTTTATAAATTATAACTCCCAATCTAATAAATTAAATAATTTTTTTTCTTCATGAATATGATTGACTTGTTTATTATTCACATCTTGACCATTCTATTTTTATTTTTACTTTTTAATTCATTCTAACAAGCAAACAAACTCAAAGGGTGGTGGGATGCGTCATTCACTTTAGAAAATGGATACTCTAAATTAAAAGTTTGTGAGCTTTTTTAAAGTTCATTTTTTTAAAACAACAAAGCAGATTTTGTGTGTTATAAAAAATTAATAAAATAGAAACATATAAAAAATCCATGCACGCACTCACATATATATAAGTAAAATTGGAAATCGGCTTTTGAGTAGATTTGAAAAACGAACGAGCTCAATTCTTAAAGACTCTAGCCCTTAAACTCAATTTTCTTAAAATGTCTTATTTTTTAAAACACGACCCTTATATAAAGAGCTCAGAATCAAGCCTGTAAACCCTTATTATTATTTTTTTATTTTATAAAATATTTAAAAATTAAAATTTTTAAGTATAATATTTTATATATATTTTTTAAAAAATTATAATATTTAAAAATTAAAAATAAATAATATAAATTCTAATTTTAAAGTATAAGCATATATTTTAAAGTTTAAATTTAATTTAAAAATTAAAATTATTTTATTTTTTCAAGCAAAAACAAAAAAGAGCCTAAAAAGGCAGCCCAGGCCCATTTTTTAGGGCCTATCAAGGCTTTTCTTAAAAAATATCATTTTTTCAAGCATGAACTCTTATAAAAATAAATTTAAATGGACAATCTTTTAGGTCCGACCCTTATTCCAACTCTACTTTCAAGCTCAACCCATGTCATTTAATTCTATCAACTTCTTTTTATAATTTCAAATTTCTATTTTAAAAATTTATTTAATTTTTTGATAAACTTTTAAAAATTATTTTATCTTAATTCAGTTTTTTCCCATTCCTCTCCCATTATCTCTCCTATAATCCCACTCTTTCATCATTGTAACTCCACATAATTATATTCCTATTTTTAAACATTTAATTTTGGAAATTAAGATCATGGCAAGATAAAAATAGAAATGATAAATAATATAATAACATTTTAAATCAAGTGTGTGTGAGTAGAATTGCAAGTCGCTTTCTAAACTTGACAATTATGTATTTGTTAAAATGTTGTAATTATATAGGTTATTCATGTCAGCATTAATTTTTAAAATTAATTTTTTAAGTTTGACATGTGTTCTTTTTTTTTTTAAATGCTGGAAATACAAAGTACCACATTAGCTTCATTTAATTCAATTAACTTATTTTTATAGTTTTAAATTTCTATTTTGAAAACTAATTTAATTTTTTTTGTTCACTTTCAAAAACTAATTTATCTTAATTCAATTTTTCCTCATTCCTCCCTTATTATTTCTCCCACTCTTCCATCACTGTAACTCCGCCTAATTTTATTGCTATTTTTAAACATTTTATTCTAAAAACCAAGAGATCGTAGCAAGATAGGAATAAAAATGATGAAAAGTATAATAACATTTTATGTGTGTATGTGAATAAAATAGAATTGCAAGTTGCCTTCCAAGTTTGACGAATATCCATTTTTTAAAATGTTGTAATTATATAAGCTATCCATGTCAAAATTAATTTTTTATGGACAATAAAAACATTATAATTGAAATGCCAGAAACCACTTCCTTTTATCTTTAAATTTTTCCTTTTATGATCTTATCCATTATCATAACTTCCTAACTTTCTCACCCCTAAAAATATATAAATTTAATGTGCACACTAAATTTTCTATCAAATTTTCTTAAGTGTTAAAAATTTTTGTATTTAAAATGAATTATTTTAATTTTTATTTGCCCTAGTTCTTCTCCCATTATCTCTCCCACTTTTATATCATCATAACTTCTTATAATCCTTTCTTTTTTAAGTTTTAAAATTATAATTGCACAAACTCATGATGAGTTTAAGCAGTTATAAAACACACAAGATTTTCTTTCACTTCTAATGTGATCCAGACGCTTCATTCCCTCACCAAGACAAGCAAATCATAAAACTTTCATCCTCTTTGGCCCCTTCCTTAGTCACCAATGTCTTCTCGCCTGCATTTGTATCATCTTTTGTGAAGATTATTTGTTCTTGGTTGATGGCTCACTCATGGTAGATACCAAATAATTGTACATAATCATGATTTCATAATTTTTTCTTGACTTTTCCTCCATCATTCTAAACCTCTTTTTTATAAGCAATAGAATTGAAAGAACTAGCTATACATTATTTTCTTGGAGTTATGCTTTCATAGAATTTGATAGTTTTTGAAACATTTATTATAAATTGTACAATGACTTGTTAATTATTTTACGACTCTGCAGATATATTAAATTTGAATGAATAGAAAGATAGACGTTGCTATTGTTCTTCAAATACATACAAAATAAATTTTCTTCCTCCACTTATACCTTGGACATCTGTTTGTAGAATTTTGTTTTGAAAAGCACGTTCATGATAATTTACTCATATAATAGATTGTACATTATCCAAATTTTTTAATTTTGATTAATATTTTAATGATATTTGTTTAAGTTTTATTTTTATTTGAACTATAGACATTAAAAGAACTAACTAAATTTTAAAGTTTTAATTTATATATAATTTGTATTTAAACATAATGATTTAATCATCAAATTTTTATTTTAATCTTGATTATATTTGATATTGTAATATCTCAACTACAAGATTTTGAAATATTGATGCTTCACTTGAAAATTAAGTTTTTAAGACATATTAATATGTTTATTTGTTGATTGTTTGGTATTTATAAATCATAAATAAAATTACAACACTTCAAAATTTTATTTACCTTTACATAATTTAATAGAAAAAATAGCGCCATGCAACTTTTATATTTACTTCATAGTTTTTTTTTTTCATGGATTGCATGTGATAAAAATATTATAGACTATCTAATTATTAGATAGACATGCAAGTGATAAAGAAAAGCTGCAAAATCGCACAATCAACATAATAAAACAGATAAATTATATTAGGGTTTATGAAGAAGACAGGCTATAACAGAGATAAAGCCAACTTGCGACCTATTAAACTATTATGGGGTGTATTTGGAGATTCAAGATAAATTTTTCAGTCTTGTTTTTCATAACTATGCACTCATCTTATTAATTAATATTATAATTTTTTTATATAAAAATTTTTTCATTTATATTAGTTAATACTCTAAAATTATTTAATTTTAGATTACAAAAATATTCTTTACATTGCAGGGGCACCATACAAGTTAGCTTTGAAACTACATTCACTCAGTATGTTTCAATCACCCACGTGAAAGTTGTGCTTTAGCAGTAGTTTCCTTGGGCCAAAATGGCGGGCCTACTGGTCCTGGTGGCGTGCTCTGCTTCAGGTTCGGGCATAGCTAGAGTGGACCGATCGTTGTAACAAACTTGTTCGATGATTAATAATTAAAACCGTAATAAAACTCTAATCAAATCAATTATAATAAACAAAATATTTTATTAAATCAATCAGGTTTAACTGGCAGATTTAGCCTGATTTTCTAGATGATGACTAGACAGCATGAGCTTTCAAGTCATAGGCCCACGCGAATGAAGTTTCAGGCCACGATGGAATTTCTCGATGAAAAGAAAAGGAGACGGGAAAAGTCAATAACATGGTTGAAGATGAGAGGGTGAACTAATAGTAAGTGGCGGCAATGTGGTGGAGCTCGAAATTCAGGCGCGAAGGATTGGAAAACATGATCATGTGATCAGAGGCAGAGACGACGACCTTGATGTGTTGTGCATTTGGATGCTTGTGAATCATCCACTCCTGAAACTCTGGCTTCAGCACTCGGTCTTGTTCGCACACTATGTACACCGTGGCAACGCTTCCAAACTTATCATCTGTCACTTCGGTTTCTCGTGCAAGCACTTCTTCGTCTCCGTACAGCCGAGTGGGTCTCACCAGTGTCAGCGCCAGGCTCAAATCCTGCTTTCACATCAATCATACAGTGATGTCATTCATACATTTGAAAAAATCACTATTATATTCTCATTTCATTATAAAATATAAAATATTTTTAATTAAATTTTATTTTAATAAAATAATTTTTTATTTTTTAATTAATTCTATTTTTTTATATTTTTTTAATTAAACACCTCAAAATAAATATAAAATTATTTATTAATAAAAATACTTAAAAATAATAATAATTATATATCAAGAGGTTAAAAATATTTTATATTTTTTAACATTCAATTTTTAAAAATATATTTTATATTTTTTAATAGAGTGAATAACTTATAAATATATTTATGATATTAGAATTAAAAAATAAATAATTATTAATGTATTCATAAACGTGGGTTTCAGAACCGGTATATTAACCACAAATCAATTATGAATTGGTAAATAATCTCATAAATTTATTATTATTTGTGAATTTTATAAAACCAATTGTCAATAAATAAATGATTTCGTCAATATATATTATCATTTTAAGAAAAGTTACATGTGAACCTACAGGATAACAACTGTCAATAAATATAAATAATTTTACATGATTCATGGACGTTCTCTTATTTTTAAATATCTATTTATAATATATTTTTTATAGATTCACAATTTTTTTAAGATTTATAAGTAACTATCATCAAATTCTTTTTTTTTTTGCCAGTAACTATCATCAAATTCACAAAGAATAATTTATAAATTTATAAAATTATGTTCATTTATAATTGACTTTTCATAAATTTATAAATAATTTTTATTAAATTTACAACTAACTTTTTTTTAAATTTATGAGTGACCTTCCATTCATTACGTCAACAATTAAAAATTCTTTAATTGTAAATAAAAATCATGATTATTCCGTAACATTTTAATAATTGAAGTTTTTCAATTACCATTAATGTATTCATAAGATCCATAACTTTCTACCTGCTAGTATCATTTTTCCAACATGTTTCTTCTTGATAAACCAATAATTAAATGGCGGTCGGTGCATTTGGCCCCAAGGAAAATGATTAGCAGAAAAAAAAATAGCTTAATGATTTTAATTATTATGGACATATTATTGCATAAAATGTTAACTACTCTCCTGCAAGACCAGATCAGTGATGACCCAAAGTTCCATGATAAACAATGCGATGATAGCAAAAATTAAACTTAAGCGATCTTAATAGAATTTATTAACAATCTCATCTTAATTACTGAGTCAAATGGGTGGGTTAATCTCAATATATCGACTAGGCTTACATCTATTTCAAGAGGTTTTACAATAGGCGCGTTGACCTGTAAAGAAATGGATATAATTGTTATTGTTAGGAAAAATAACAATTAAAAACGCCATAAAAATATTAATAATAATAATAATTATTGACTTTGAATTATTAAAATTTTAATAATAAAATATGATTCTTACTTGTAATTGAAAAAATAAGAATAATCAGTTAAAAAAATCAACAAAAACTACTTTAAATCATTTGTAAAGTTAATTGAAAATTTATAAAAATTAGTTGTGAATTTTAATTTTTTAATGTCAATATAATATAGGAATAAATCATTTAGGAAATAAAAAAATACACTTAGAGATTATTTGCAATTTTAATTGAGAATTTATAAGAGTTAATTATGAATCATAAGTCAATTACTTGCACTTTTTTTTGTCAATATATCAATAAATTGGTCAAACAATTTATAAAATACAATTGTAATTATCTATAATATAAGTTGAGAGTTTATAAAAGTCAGCTGTGAATTGCAAGCCCCAAACACTAGTGATTTTTTGCCATCATTTGAAAAATGAATGAAAGATACTTTAAATTTTTATAATGTTAGTTGAAAATTTATAAAAATTTATTATAGATCTTAAACCAACTAACAAAAAATAATTTGTTACAAGGAAGGGTTAATGGATCATGGTTTGTTATTGAAATTTTAATAATTTGAGGTTTATAATTGTCATTAACTTTTTATGAGGTCCTTAATGGCCAGTTTCCCTACTTGTTATTGTGGGCTTTATATGCTTAATTATCCATCATCAATACAATGAATCATGACACACAAGCTTTGAAGAGCCGCACCATTGAGAAGGTACTAAACATAAAATTTCTCCAATTGCGCGGAGCCCTCTTCTAATTAACCATGAATCCCTGTTTGAATGTTAAATTCATCTGAATCGAAATAACAATGACACGGAATCAAACTAAGTGATTTGGATTTTTTTTTTTTAAAAATTGATTTGAAATATAATTTTGAAAATACATACAAAATTCTGGTATGGGTTTATTTATTTAGGCAGGAAAATGTTTCGAATCCAATGCTTCAGAAATTACCTCAGCGGGCGAGAGATTGTATAACTTGGAGGCCAGGAAATCCGGCCCGAATGACAGGTATCCATTTGCATGGGGGCCTTCCTCATACACAATCTTCGAGTCCATATTGGAATCCAATCTTCGCCGATACTGCCAAAGTGCCAAATGCCATGCAATTTTGGAAATTACAATATTAGGCTATTACAATAATTTGAAAAACGCTGTGTGGCGCGTGTGAAGTAACCAAAATCAATGCTCTCTACTCACTAGTTATGAACGAATGAATCACAGAGCCTAGATGGACGCACATGGGATGTCCTTGGTATGATGAAATTGGGAACGTGAATTGATTTGAAGTGGGTAAAAACACAAATTAAAGCTTATGTAATCTACTGAACTGTGGATGAAGAGAGAGAAAGGGAGGACCTCGTGGACGAGAGAGACGGCGGAAAGGTGAGGAGAAGGCAAGAAGGCAGCAACGAAAACGGCGGCGGCGATCTTGTGGGGGAAGCGTTGCATGGCCATTGATATGCAGAGGCCACCCATGCTGTGACCCACCAATATCACTCTCTGCTCTGCCTCCAAACACCCCACAAACTCCATCAAAGGCTCCACGTACTCTGCAAACGAGCTCAGCTCATGCACTTGCTTGGGATGGGTCCCACAGGCAGCCAGGTCTAGAGCTGTTACGCTGTGGCCTTGAGATTTCAGAAGAGGGATCAACTTGTACCAACACCACGCTCCATGGCAAGCTCCGTGAACCAACACAAAATGCCTCTCCTTCCCCTTTTCCATATCTGCCTTCGCTCTAACCTGCCCTCGATCATGTATGCACACACACTGCTGGTTAGAGTCTTATGCGTGAAAGGACAAGAGACCTTGCGTGAATGAATGAGCTCTCGTGTTACGTGGCACCCACCAATTTGCCAACTGTCATCCCCACTCTTTTATCTCTGGCTTTCACGCCACACCTTTCCATCTTGACTTTTATTACACATATTCTCCTTCCTTTCTTCCTTCCTTTGTTTTTGTCCCCAGTTAGTATAGGTTACAGGGGGAATTACATTATAAAAAAAATTAATTATTATAAAATTTATTAATAATTAAATTAAACTATATTGATAAATGATTGAAATATTTCATACCATCCTCCCCCTCCGTCTCTGTCTCTGCGCATTCTTACTCAGCTCGGTTGGTCCGAAAAAACAGGCATGACAGTGGCCCTAAAAATGCATCCTCAACAGTTCTAAACATGCAAAACCCATTGAAATATTTTAGCATCTCCTATTTTCTACTAAATTCCTTGGTTATTGTTCTTCGACTTCGCCGACATGCCTTCTTTTCATCTTGACTTTAATGACAGATATTTTCTGATTTTCTGGGCTCTTTTTCTGCCTTTCTTTCTTCGCTAGCTCGTTTTTACCAGTCAGTATAATTTATATCATCCTCTCACTCCCTCTGGCGTCTGCGCATTGTTACGCATCTTGCTTGGTCTAAATATACATATGTATGGCCCTAAAAATGCGTCCTGAAGAGACCTGCTAAAAACATATAAAATTCAAAACATCGAATTAATTATTAAAAAAAATTAGAGGGCAACATTTAATAAGCTCGATAATTTCTCGTATCTATACACATTCTCATCGTTCGGCCCAAAAAAATACACATTCTCATTGTTCACAAAGTGCATTACTCATCAGCATTGTATTCTATCCGATACAATGATTACCCCCCGTACACTCCAATGCGTGCGGGCACGCCGGCTACTGTCATAAATGGACAATCAAGCAAAGCCATGTACTGTATTTTGGGAAAGGACACATGAACAAATTACCAACACCCAAAGGAATTTATAGAACAGCCAAGTGTGAGTTAAAGTTGTAGTTGTCTAGTTGGGATGCCTCGAGCATTTAGAGTAAGACAAAAACTGGCAAAACTGAACTCAAACCATTGGTTTTACTAGTTTTCACAAGCTCAAGGCCAGTTTGACAGGTTTTCTTTTACCTTGGTTCACCCTCTGCTCTAGACCGGACTAGAAACCAATTCATCAGTTTTTTTTTTTTTTTTTTTTTGGTTGTTGTTGGTAAATCGGCCGGTCCAGTCTGAGTTTTTTGAACATTGCTTATCAGCATTTCCACGTCATTATAAAGATGCACTCATCTCGCCAATGAACTTGCAAGGGTTAGATCCTGCATATTAGCGGTGAATTACTTTGTCAAGGAAGGATAATGTAATTACAACACTGGGAATTGAACTGGTCAAATCACTTGCCTCGGGTGAGGGGATACTCGGTTAATTTGGAAAGCCAAGAAGTTAAATCTCAACAGCATGGTGGTTGAAAACTCTGTCCATTTAAGAGTCTATGTGCTTAGACACCTGCAAAACCTTCCTCTCGAAGTCACAGAAGCAATTCTTAGACACATCTCTGGTTGATCGTGATTCATGAACAGGATGTAAACTGTGCCAGGGAGCTTGAATGAATGTCTTGCAATTTCCCTGATCACAAGCTCTCTAGTCTTCTGAACTGGCCTATTTGTTTTAGAACAATAAATTCATGCAAAGATCCTAAAGCTAAGTCAGAGAACTCAGAATAGACTGAGATGGAAAAATAATATGCATATACCAAGCATAGATACCAGAAGCAGCCATGTCCAGACGCGTGGCTCTGTGACTCTTCCAATATCTTTCTCTTCTGTTCATCTGCATCACCTCCCCCTTTATCCTCAGCATCAGTACCTGCCAATCAACAAACTGACAAATATACACAGACTGTCAAGCATTGAAGAGCAATTCTGCTACAGTATCCAAAATACACTCAAGCAGAAGAACAGGCCATGTTTAAACAAGCATTATAGTCACCACTAACAGGTCAGAAAACCAACCTTCCAACATTCATGAGTTTGTGTTAGGATCAGTTTTATGTTGTAATCCTTCTTCCTTGCAGCTTAAGTCTTGAAATTTCTTTAGCCTGCAAGAAACAACCAAAGAATAGTATCAATTTCTAGATTCATCATATCATCTTTCTCATAGTCGATCCTTCTGTTGAAAAAATATATCCAATGTTAAGCACCGTACCGTTTCAAGAGCACTTCAGGATTATATGGAAACAACTTCTTCCGATGAAGATTTTCAACAGAATCTTTCAATGATAGTAAGCATTCTTTAGCATCCTTGTATGGGTTTGTATAAGAGGGATTAAGTCCATATTCACCATCTTGCTTGTAATTCTTCACAAGCCCCGGAGTATAACCCTTGTTGTTCACAACAAAAGGTGTAACATTTGACTCAAACTCTAGGTCATCTGCTATTGTAACTCTCCTTTTCTTGCTCGACGATTGATTTAACAGGTCTCCAAATGATGTAAATTCCACAAATGACCGCCATGAATTACTTACCAAACTCAAGCATCTATCAAGGAACATGCAGAAGATTAAGTGAGAACTAGGATGGAAGAAAAAGTTGAAAGGCAAGATGTCACATTGATGTGTCACCACCATCAACAGTCACATATCAAGTCTTTGGGCAATAACATGTTATGACTCCCACATCAGGAGGCCACATTAGTGGAGTGTGGATTATAAGTCAACTAGGCACCCTTCCCCAACAAAGGGACTTTTAGGGGTGAGTTTTACCTAGAGGGTTTGTGGTTGTGACATTGGTGTTCTTGTTGAGGCCGGTAACATGAAAAGGATTACCCATGGAGGTTCTTTGACTGACAAGAGGCCGAGTGAAGTACCCTAGAATGGAACCGCTGGGAAAGTCGGCTCTTGACGGGGTGGCATTGTCATGAGTCTCATATCAGAGAGTCTCACGAGTGATGTGGAGTTTACATGTTCAAGAGGTTCTCCCACCTAACGGGCTAGTCTTTTGGAATGGACTCTCCTTTTGGCTTGTGCTCGTTACACAATACAGGCCAAAGGTTTAAAGAAAAGAAAACTACATTAAAACTCCATGGGCTGGGGAAAGCCCCCTTAACTAATACTTGTCTTTGGCTTATGAAGTTCACTTACCATGCACCCTGTCAATTCTAAACTTGAGCTCACCTCCAGGATGATCTTAAAAGCAAAAGCAATTCATTAAAACAACTATCCTAACCCTGAAACCATCACATATCAAAACTAGACATGCTCAAATGATCTAGCAGATTCCTGGTTCTCACAACAAGATCTGATAATAGTTCCCCACACCCGCCCATCCCTCATGTGCGAATTCATTTATAATTAAGATTTTTTTCTCATGATAATAAAGAGGCAATTGATAAAAATACCTTAGGAGATATTTAGCACAGCTGATTCCTGTATCTTTTGAAATGAGGTAATCAAGAAGCACTTGATGGTCATAGTGAATCTGCAGACCAGCAGGCAATGCAACAGATAATCAATAAGGCTATTTTTTTCCATTCAAACAATTCAACACAATCAGCGATATACTAATAGTTACTTGCCTCAGAGAGAAATAGATGAAATAGTTGCACAGGATTAAAAACATCCAACAGAGAAAAAGAAAAATCTTTCTGTATATCATGAAATGCAGTTTCCTTTTTGTTATATCTACATAAATCAAATAACTAATTAGAGGGGATTCCTTCATGCGGCAGCTCACAGGAAAAGGATAAGGCAGAATATAATGACTTACTGTTGTTGTAAACAAGATGTTATGCCAAGCAGTTGCAATAGCACTTCAAACAAAAGATCATCCTATCATTTAAGTGAAGAGAGAAGAGTAAAATACACACGTAAAAAGGTTTAAAAAAAATAAAATGAAAAAAACTGTCAAAATGGTTGTGAGTGTTTTAAAGGAGAATAATAAAGACTCCAAGCTTTGATTAGTGTTCATGCTCAGTAAATAGCATGGCCACCTGGCACAACTTATCAGCATAAGCTACCGAAAATCCTGCCCAGATGGTTATTAACTAAAACTCTGTTATATTTTTATAATGTTGAAATTAGTTAGTTATATAGCCATTGGGGGATCCGTACTCCTATAAATACCTTTAGACTCTTGTACTCATTATGGATTATGAATGAAGGCTGCATATTATTCAGTTTATCTCTACGTTCTGTAAATCCCTTCAATTCCTCTCTATCTTCTCTGTCCTTCTCTCTACCCTCTCAATTCCCCTTAAATCTCTCATTCTGAATTATTCTACCACAACAATGGTATCAGAGCTAGCCAATCCTTGGCCATTGGCTCTTCTTGATCTCTTCTCCTCACCCTGATAGTTTATGGTGCAAACTAGAAACTAGAAAAAACAAAAGATAGATGATTGTGATACAAGATTGGAAGAAAGATTTGAAAAGGTTGACACTTTAACAGAGATGATTGAACGCATCTCTAATCACTTGCAGTTACTCATGTGAGAAAGAGAAGGTTCTCCCAATCATGAAAGAAGACGACGACGTGATCATAGGATAAAAGGTCATCAAGCTCAAGACGAGGATGCACGTATAAGCGATAAGTACTAATGCAAGACCCAATTTATAAAAATGAGTTTCCCAAGTTTTCTCGGTCTAACGTCGTGGGGTGGCTTATGCGTTGCAAGTGATTCTTCAAATTGGACAATACCCTAGAAAACGAGAAGGTGCGAATGGCGAGTATATACTTGGACAAGAAGGCGTGGTATTAGCACATTGCAATAAAGAAAATGTGGCGTGGTTTTAAACCCACTTGGCAACAATACGCCTAGTGGCTTTGAGAAAGGTTTGAGCCCGCACACGAGAGACCTATGAGCGATTTGATGTGTCTTCGGCAAAATGGGTCATTGGCATGCCTTAATGATGAGTTTGATGCAATCACTTACAAGCTTCATCTTCCCCAAAATTAGCTTGTTCATGCTTATCTGGAAGGGCTGATTGAGGAGTACGCAGGAGTAGTATGTCTCTTTAAGCCCAAAACTCTTTAGGAGGCTCAATCTTCAGCTCACATGCAACAAATCTTGATTCAGCTCATGATGGAAAGGAAGACAGGTAGCAAGAATCAGAATCATGTGTTTGCCTCTATGAATATCTTGTCTTCGCCAAGCCAAACCACTTGGCCATCTTATAAAAATCTCCTTCTAAGTTGTAATACTTTTAAACCTTTGTCTGTAGAGGAAAAAGCTGAGCATAGAAGCGAAAATTTGTGCTTCTACTGCCATGGCAAATTTTCCGGAGATCATAAGTTCCCCTAAAGACAAAGGAAACAACTCCATTTCATTGAGGTTCAAGAAATAATAGAGGATGAAATTTAAATTGAAGATGCAGAAAAAATTGACAGTACAGTAGAGGTGGTGCCCTTGATCTCATTATATGCTATTGAAGGGATTGAAAATGACTCATCTATGAGGGTTGTGGGTAATTGTCCAAGGAAACAACTCCAAATTCTCATTGATAGCAGAAGCACGCATGATTTCTTAGAACTGGACTTAGCAAGAAGATTAGGGTGCAGCCTAATAATAATCATGAAGCATGGGTTGAGGTTACTGGTGATCAAAAATTAAAATTACATGGAATGTGGAAGGGTTTCAGATGGTGCATGCAGAGCTTGGACTTTGCATTTGACTTCAGAATTCTGGAATTGCATTCATACGACATGGTCTTAGGGTTACATTAGTTGAAAAGCATTAAAAATGTAGTATGAAACCCTCACTATGTTTTTCTGGTATGAAGCAAAGCTGTGTAAACTCCAAGCTAACATTCCTAATCAGTTAAAGGTAGGGCAGCCAAAGCATTTACTGATGAGAGCCTCTCAGGAAAATCAAGCTTATTCAATACAACCTGTCATTGATCATCAAACAACTCTGCAATATTTTTCACTTCAATCTCCCGAGGAAACTCCAGCAGTAATTGCAGCTACTTTGAAGGATTTTTCTGACCTATTTGAGGAGCCTTAAGGGCTACCAACTTTTAGGGAAGGCCATAACCATCCAATTGTTCTAGAAAAGGGCACCGATCCAATTAATTTAAAGCCTTACAGATATCCAGCTGTACAGAAGGATGTAATTGAGAAATTAGTTGGGGATCTTCTGCAAACAGGGGTTATCCAAGAAAGCTCTTCCCCTTTTTAAGCTCCTATTGTCTTTGTTAAAAAAAAAGGTAGCACTTGGAGGATGTGCATATTATAGGGAGTTGAACAAGAAGACTACTAAAAACCAGTACCCTATTCCCTCAGTAGAAGATTTGTTTAATGAATTGAGCACAACGAGGTGGTTTACAAAGCTGGATTCAACAGCTGGGCATCATCAAATCACAATGATGCCAGAGGATGTACATAAAACTGCATTCAAAACTCATAGTGGATGTTATGAGTAGTTAGTTATACCTTTTGGCTTCACTAATGCTCCAGCAACATTTCAAGGAGCTATGAACAACATATTCAAATCATTTTTAAGAAGGTTCGTTTTAGTATTTTTTGATGATATTTTGGTTAATAGTGCTAAAATTAATGACCATATGCAACATTTGAAGCAAGTTTTCTCTATTTTAAGAGAAAACCATTATTTTGTCAAGAAAAGTAAATGTTCTTTTGCTGCCAATGAGGTAGAATACTTAGGACATTTGATTGGAAGTGGCACAGTCAAAACTGATCCTAAGAAGTTGCAAGCAGTAGCTAATTGGCCTGAACCACATAATGTTAAGCAATTAAGAGCATTCTTGGGTTTGGCAAGGTACTAAAGACGCTTTATTAAAGGATATGAGATTTTAACTAAGCCCTTAATCCTTCTCTTCAAGAAAAATGGATTTGAATGGTCACAGGCAGCTATTGAAGCATTTAATAACCTCAAAGATGTTTTGATTTCCGCACCTGTTCTCATACTTTCACATTTTTCAAAACAACTTATAGTTGAGGCAGATGCTTGTGGAGTGGGACGTCCTATTGCTTATTTTAGCAAGGGTTTGGCTGAAAGGCATCAAAAGCTTTCAATTTATGAAAAGGATTAATGGCAGTGGTGCTGGCAATACTTCATTGGCATCAGTATTTGGAAAGACGGGGGTTTATCATTTGATCAGACCAGAAAAGCTCAAAATATTTGCTTGGACAGAAGTTAAAAACATCTTTTCAGATGTTTTGTATTGCTAAATTAGCTGGATTTGATTATGAAATTCAGTATAAAAGGGGCATGAAAATTGTATAACTGATGCTCTTTTCATAATTCCTAAACAGCAATTAATGCAGATTGTTTAGACACTTCTTCGCCTGAAATGCTTGATAAAATCAAGGGGAGCTAGAAGAATGATGCTGTAATCACAGAAATTCAGACGAAAGTTCAGGCGAGTAATGGGAATTGGGGCCATTTTTCTTGGGATGGTGAATTATTAATGAGGAAGGGGAAGTAGGTCATGGGACAGGATCCTAATTTGAAACAAGAAATTTTTGAATGGTTGCATTCTAGTCCTCAAGGGGGACATTCAGGGATTCAAGTTACATATCATAGGATTAAAGCATTAATGTGGTGGAAAAAGCTTATTAATGATGTCATAGATTTTATCAAACAATGTGATACCTCTGCACGCTGCAAGTATGAAGCTGTTGCATCTCCAAGGCTGTTACAACCTATTCCAATAACAAGCAGAATTTGGAAAAGTTTTACTATGGACTTTATTGAAGGACTTCCTAAATCCAATGAGAGGTCCTTCATAACTAGGGAAGAGATGATAAAGATTCTAAAGCATCATTTGTATCGTGCTACCAATATGATGAAGCAAAAGACCAATGCTCACAAATCTGACCGAGAGTTTGTGATGGGACAATGAGTTTTTCTTAAACTATAACCCTATAGACAATTATCAGTTGCTGTTAGGAGCTCTCAAAAATTAGCTCCTTAGTTTTTTTGGTCCCTACAAGGTGCTGGAAAAGATAGGGACAGTTGCTTATAAGTTTGATTTACCACCTGACTCTAGAATACATCCTACCTTCCATGTGTTTTTGTTGAAGTTGTGCCCTGATCCTAAGGTGAAGCAAAGACATCCACCATTTGATTGGCCAGAAATTCCGGCCACAATAGAACCAGAGCAAATTTTGCCGAAAAGAGTGGGTTGCAAGAGGGGTAGATTCACTACTAAAATTTTAGTTAAATGGAAGCAATTGCCGGATGAGGAAGCACCTTGGATGCCTTTGTACTAGTTTCAACAAAAGCTTCCTCACTTAGTTGTAATTGATCCTTGAGGGCAAGGATCTCTTTGGGGGGGGGGATATTGTTATATTTTTATAATGTTGACATTAGCTAGTTCTATGGCTGTTGGGGGATCCGTGTATTATTCAATTTATTTCTATTGTCTCTGAATCCCCTCAATTTCTCCCTATCTTCTTTGTTCTTCTCTCTACCCTCTCAATTCCCCTTAAATCTCTCATTTAGAATTATTCTACCACAACAAACTTCATGATCTTTATCTAAATCAACTATTCCACACGGAGCCCCAAAATGTAATAGTTATCTAGTACAAGAAAAAAAATGTTTTTGGGGAAATCACTACATCACATGCTTACACAATATTCTGCAAGTTTAGTACCAAGGGGATGACGAGACAAACCTCCCCAAGATATAGCTGGAGGAATGAAGACATGAAGTTTACACATATTTCCAAGTACTTTTCATCATTGAAAGAGACCTCAGTCAGAAGATGTCCTTGGAGCCACTTGTAAAGCCCAACCAGTCCCTTCCTTTTACAGTAAAAATTAGGTTCTGAATCTGAGTTATTGGGCAAGCAGGAGTTTAAACCTGAACAAATACAGCAGTCCGCAGGATCTCCCTTTTGAGAGATCAAACTGAAAGAGCAATCCAGGAAGAGGAATATAGCTTGCCTCCGTAAGTGATGGGAGTGCATACCACTCACTTCTCCATCAGATAAATTCAATAAAAACGGAGAACCTTCCAAACATTCATTTTGATCCAACTGAAACTGAGTAAATGGTTGCCACAAAAGCTCTTGAAAGTAATCATGAAGGAGTTCCAGCCAAGAAAGAAGGATAGAACAATCCAGACATTTGTTTAAACGAAGCCTGATCATTAGAATCTGCAGAGTGTAGTAATTGGTTTATAAAGGGATAAAAGTGGAATCATGAATTCATGGCAAACGCAGGGAAGGGGGGGATTCTGTCCTCAAAAGTTGTCCTCATAAACCTGCTCCCATTCTAAGCAGAATAAAGTAGAAACTATTTTATCATGAAATTGTGCACTGAGTTATTTGTTCTTTTCTTTCCTCTGAAAAATTCCAAAACATGAAAAAATTATGATAAGTAAAGCAAGACAAGCAAATAAAGTTAACTCTGAAAACGCTTTTATTTATTTATTTATTTATTTTGTGGTGCTGCTTTTGCCGTGAATGAGGGAGGCATAAGGAGCAAGGTTAGGCGTTAGCATCCAGTAGGTCCCACCATCCCACAAAGATGAAATTTGAAATCGAGATCAAATAAGCTTACCAAACTATGCAAGCACTAAAATTCTACATCATCTTGTTTTCTTCATATCATGATAAGAAATTTTCAAAATAACTGCTGCTTGCACATAAATTTGACAACAATTATTTATATCTGTATTTATTAAATGAGGGGGAAATATTCTCAGGTACATGAGCCATACCAGCAGCTTGTGTTTCAAGTACTGAATGATGCATGTTTCAGCGCTACCTCCTTTCTTGTTGAGACACCACTTAAGAAGTCTGGGCACTAGATTAACCACTGTGACAAGAAGTGGATGTTTATTTGCAGAAGCACCTCCAGTTTCTACAAAATCATTTTGGTCAACCAAAGAACAGAGTAACTGAAGAAATGTTCCAAGAAATTTGACTCCAGGCTCCATAGCACTGAAATTGTCAACATTCAATGGATTCGTAGAAGAACTTTTCTTGCTTCCATCAGTCAAATAAACCTGAAACTGATCTAATAAATCCCAAGGGACCTTTGAAAGAGAGGAATTGACAGAATCATAGTACATCTTGACAAGTTCATCATCATAATCCTCCTTCAAACATTTAAATACAGCACGTAACACTTGGTTGATGCCAGCCACAGTAGACCAATCGCTTCTTTTCAGTTCATAAGGCCCGAGAAATCTAACATCAGATGAATCAAGGTTGTTTCCAGCTCCAGATCTAGCAATTGCCACTTCCCAAAAACAGCACAAGAATTGAACAAATTCATTCAAATAGCTTCCCTGCAAAATATTAGCAGTTAAGATGATGAAGCACATTTAGAAATTAAAATCACCGAGAAAGTAATTTTTGCATACCATTGTGAGTAGGAAATTTGAAGTCAAGGCAAGAGCCTTGACTGCCAGATGTTGAACAAATTGACTCTTGGCAGTGAGCAAAATCATCTGCCAGGAAAAGCAATACATGATCAGATGAGGGAAAAACGAAACGGCATGCTTAACAGCAACATAGTTAAATCTTAAAGTTGGTAGAAGTGAGGGAAGAAAAAGAAAGATAGAGTGCGAAGCGTCAAGCTTAAGATGACACGTCAAACAAACCATTCACTGGCATTGAATGGCACGAATCCTTATATAAACAATATGGCCTGTATTATGCAAGACATTTTTCGCATTAACATTCCAAGGAACCCTCAGGCAAACCCAAATTTTTCCCCAAAAACAAAAAAAATCAAACAGAACCTTATTATTAGAGCAATCAATAGTCAATAGAATCTGAATAAGCTGCTGATCACGATTCTCACCATATCAGTTACTACATTAGACATACAATGATGGGCAGCAGAATGCAGGTTCAACCCACATAGGCTCTCTTCCTTCAGAACAGTTTTTACCACTGTTTCCTTTTCTTTAGAAACAGATTCGTGTATCCGCAGCTGAATTTTTCTTAAGACCTAACATGAAAATAGTTAATTCCAACAAATCCAATAAAGTTCGCTTGGTAACTTGATAACGTAACAGCAAGTGGAGAACTGAGAGAGATAAACCTCAGAAAGATTAATCAGAACTTCTTTTTCCACCTCCTTCTCTTTGCCAATAAAAACTGCCTCATCTGGCCCCTGAGCCACATTAAGCAGTTTAGCCAGTCAATTATTGCATGAAAAGAAAAGAAAGAAGAAAACTTAATGCTGGAGAACAGGGAAACAGACTATGTATGAACGAAGAGACTCATCGATCAGTCGGCAGAGCCATGAGAGTTCACCGGACGGAGACATTCCGAGACTCATCGAGCTGGAGAACAGGAGGGACGTCGCAACAAACAGTTTGAAGTATAAACGGCACTGGTTGTCGTCTAAGATGCACTTAGCTGTCGTTTTGCAGTTTTGGTTTTTTTTTTTTTTTTTCCGGCCCTTTGGGTTGGGATGTCCCATTAAGTAACAACGTAATATAGTAAAGTAATATGCAACTCTGAAAAACTGAGTTTTTAATTTGGCGGGTATTTCCTGCCGATGCCATTGCCAGCGTTATGTGAAGCAAATTCCCAGGCAGCTCTCGCGCTCTTCCAAAGATGCAGCGCCATAACCTCGTTGAAGAAGGCGCGTCAACTCCACGCCATGATCTTAACCACCACCGTCATAGGCTTGCAATCACCGTTTCTGTACAACAATATAATTTCCGTCTATGCCCGATGTGGATCCCTCAGGGACTCCCAGCAGGTGTTCGACACAATGCCTCAAAGGAATCTCGTTTCTTTCAACTCGCTTATTGCGGCCTATTCTCGAGTGCCAAACAAGGCGAATTTGGCCCTCAAAATTTATAACGAGATGGAAACCAGAGGCCTGAGGCCTAGCAGTTTGACTTTCACGAGCTTACTGCAAGCGTCTTCATTGCTTGAAGATGGGTTGGTTGGTTCGTTATTTCATGCCCAAGCCGTGAAACTTGGTTTACTTAATGAAATTTGCGTTCAAACATCTTTGCTGAACATGTACTCGAATTGCGGGGATGTGTACTCCGCAGACTTAGTTTTCGAGGAGATGGCAGATAGAGATGATGTTGCATGGAATTCCTTGATTGTGGGGAACTTAAAGAATAATAAGTTCCAAGAAAGTCTTCGCCTATTTAGTGAAATAGTGAGGATTGCTTTTACCCCTACAAAGGTTACATATTCTTTGATTTTGAACGCATGTAGCCAACTGAAAGATTATCAATCTGGGCGATCGATTCATGCCCATGTAATTATTAGGAATGTCTCGGCTGATTTATATCTAGAAAACGCCCTGCTTGACATGTACTGCAATGTAGGTGACACACCCATGGCAAATAGGATTTTTTGTAGGATGGAAAACCCAGATTTGGTTTCATGGAATTCAATGATTTCTGGATATTCAGAGAACAAGGATGGAAAGAAAGCCATGCATTTGTTTGTTCAGCTGCAGAAAGAGTGCTATCTAAAACCGGATGAGTACACTTATGCCGCCATTATTTCGGCAACTGGCTCATTCCCATGTTCCAGTTTTGGAAAACCTCTTCATGCTCTGGTTACCAAAGCAGGATTTGAGAGAAGTGTGTTTGTAGGGAGTAATCTAGTGTCTATGTATTTTAAAAACAATGACACTGAAGCTTCTCAAAAGGCATTTTATTCAATCTCACAGAAGGATGCTGTTCTCTGGACTGAGATGATAACGGGTTATTCTAAAATGGCTGATGCCAAAGGTGCAATTAGATGCTTTTCAGAAATGTATCGTGAAGGCTACAAGGTTGACAATTATATTCTCAGTGGAGTTTTGAGTACATGTGCTGACCTTGCAATTTTAAGAGCAGGTGAAATAATTCATTCCTATGCTGTTAAATTGGGCTATGATATTGACATGTCTGTTTCTGGGAGTCTGGTTGATATGTATGCCAAAAACGGCAGCCTTGAATGTGCACAAGTGGTTTTTTCCCAAGTCTCAAACCCGGATCTGGGGTGTTGGAACGCAATGCTTGGAGGATATAGTCGCCATGGAATGGTTGTGGAGGCAATGAATCTCTTCGAGGAGATTGTTGAACAGGGTCTGATTCCAAATCAAGTAACATTCTTGTCTCTATTGTCTGCTTGCAGTCACAGGAGATCGGTTGAGAAAGCAAAGTTTCTCTGGAATTATATGGAGAACATCGGTTTGATTCCTGGGCCTAAGCACTACTCTTGCATGGTAACCTTATTGAGTCGAGCGGCATTGCTGGAAGAAGCAGAAGAAATTATCAACAAGTCACCTTATGTTGAAGATAATCTGGAACTTTGGAGAACTTTGCTAAGCGCATGTGTCATAGATGGAAATTTGGAAGTGGGCATTCGTACAGCCAATGGAGTGTTAAAACTGGATGCAGAACAAGGTCCGACATTAATCTTACTTTCTAATCTGTACGCTGCTGCTGGGAGATGGGCTGATGTTGCAGAGATAAGAAAGAAGATGAAAGGATTGATGCTGCAGAAAGATCCGGGTCTCAGTTGGATAGAGGCCAAGCATGACATCCACGCATTCTCTTCAGGAGATCAATCGCACCCTAAGATTGATGAGGTGCAAGCCGAATTGCGCAGCCTAAAAAAGATCATGGTCAGAACAGAAATTGAGGCAGGGGAGTACATGCTTCACTAGATGTTGAGGTTACAATCAATTCATGCACATGAACTTGTTAGGATCAATTACATTTTAAAATTTATCCTATTAATATTATTTGTGCATTACAACATCATTCAAAAACTAGGAAATTTTGGAAGTTCATTTATAATTTATTCCCTCTCAATATAAAATTAAATAATTTGTAAAGAACTTATCAATATGTTATATGTTTACAATGTTATATTAGAATGATATTACATCACATTGCGTGGTTGTAAAACTAATTGCCAACTGGCAAGAGTGATCATTTATGACTGAAATTATATCACGTTACATGATTGGACACCAAACGACATAATTGGTTGATTGTCATTAGATAATTACTTTTACCAAAGACATAATATTATTTCACATGCATATAACATACTACAGTTATCCAAAATAATATGATACATGAAATGACAAAATCAATATCACAAAAAACCATATGCTTCCCAATTTGTTTGCCACATAACTTAATTTCATCATTCATACATCACCCAATCATCTTGCCTGTTAGAATGAAAAACACCAATGAAGATGACGTGATGGCCATTCTCATTTTCATTTATTATCCATGGTATAATTTTTCGCCATTCCAAATATTTTAATAAGGGAATGAAAAAGAGGCATTTGCACAAAAGAACAGTCTTAATAGAGTTTTAATAAGGGATTGACCCGCAGGCCCCTGCACGCAACCCAAGTCGGGTTGGGATACGAGGGGAGCATCAGGCTCAAGATTTACAAGCTTTCATAAATATGGACCCGGGCAATGAAATGTGTGTTTTATTTTTAGTTTATTAAAAGTTCATTTAGTAAAAATTTATTTAATATAAATTAATTTAATAAAAGTTAATTATTGTAATGAAATTTATATTTAGATATATTTTTTTAAAAATCAGTTTAATACACTGAAAGTTATTTGATTTGTAATAGTAAAATATGTTTTTAAATGAACAATTATAAAAAAAACATTGATTTATAATAATTGATAATTTTTATTATACAAATATAATATATTTAAAATATTTAAAAAATGTGATAAAAATTTTAAACAACATACATTTTAATCTATAATGCTAAAAATTTAATCAGTAATTATTTGTATTTTTTTAATTTATAATTTTAGAAAATGTGATAAAAATTTGTAATTTATATTATACATTAATGTTAAAAAATAACATGATTAATTATTCAATTTATAATGCTAAAAACTTAATACCTATTATTATTATTAAAATAATAATTATATGAATCAACTATTATTTAAATAAAAGAATTAAACTTGAAATAATATAATTAAATAACATCCTACTTTTTAAATTTATTTTTTAAAAATTTTAAATAGTTACATTTCAAAAATCTACGTTCAGCTACTGTTTGAATATATTTTTAGAATATACTTTCTTATAAAATATTTTACCCAAACAACTTTCAATTTTTTAAAAGTAAAATTTTACTTTCTGAATATAAAAAATAAAAATACCAAACGGACCTGAAAGGTTACTCCTTGCAGAGCCCCTACCAGTTTTTCACTCAGTATTGAAAACTTGAAATCTAGTAAAACGCATCCAAAAATAAACTGCCTACCTATTAAGAGTAGTTTACAACAAATAAATCATAAATCAAGCTCAAACTGGAAGCCAGGAAGAGCAAACTTGAGACTTCCAGGAAAAAATGCTTCACGTTCATGTTGCCAGAAAAACTACTTTTGTCAAGGCAGCTCATGAAATTCTGCTAAGCTTGCTTTGCTGGCACTACAAAGCCTAGTTGACAAGCAGGTTTCTCAACAAACTGGGTACAATTCTCCTTGAAATGTGATTATAATTAAATGATCTAGCGTATAATTCTTGATTATGTTACAGAAAAATGGACCCACTAATACCCTGCTGCAAATTGTTTAATGGAACAACCTGATCGCATGATGCGCTGGTGTCCATAATCCAGCATCGACCTCTCCAGATCAATCAAATTCCAAAAAAAGCAAGATTTACACCATTTAACCAATATTCTCAACACTAAATGAAGAACTCTTTAGCACCAAGACGTAGCCTGTCAATTTCACATGTTATTTATTATCGTCGAGCAGTTCTGGATTTTGGCCTTGATGATTTCTGCAAGAGCATTGACGAAAAGTACGCTCAATAGATAAATTCTTAAAAGCCACCAAAAAAGACAAAAATGAAGCAGGAAAGCACAACGCTTAATTCTATTAAATCAAGCATGCTAAGGCACTATGCTATAGGCTTTATTATCGCAGTAACATAGTCTAAACGTAAGCCAGAAAGGCAGAAGTTCACTCACTGATGCAGCCCCAAAGCTTGCCCCTGATCCTGTTGCAGCACCTGAGGAAGGAAATATCAGTAAATATAGCCGTGTTTAAAGTTACTTGGCCCTCGACAATGAAATTCTGTTTTCTGAGTCAACTTTTTTTTTTTATATATATAGTCAATATTTAAAAGACACTATGCAGACTAAAAGCTCAACATAATTACCTGAAGCAAAGGGAGTCGAAAAGAGTGAACCTCCGGTACTCGTACCAAATGGTGAAGCAGAACTACTGAACAGAGAGGGAGTGGAAGAAGGACCAAATAAGGAAGATGATGAAGAACTAAAAGCTGCGGCTTGGGGTGTAGCACTGGATGAACCAAACAAAGAGGATACTGGAGCAGAAGTTGTTGGTGTTGTAAACATAGATGGTGTAGAGGAAGGTGGAACTGAAGATGGTGTGCTAAATAGCGAAAATCCACTTCCTGATGATGACAACGTAGTTGCTGCAGATGTCTGTGAGGCAGTCAATGTCCCTTGAGTTGCTGAGCTAGAAAACAACCCTGCAACTTGTGTTGAAGGCTGCGTGTTTGCAGGTAAGTGTAATGTTGGATGAACTCTTTTTGAGGCAGCTTCTTGTCTTGCTGTTTCTCGCCGATCAGCCTCTAAAAATGGATCATTTACCTCCCCCCAACGACGCTGATCAGCTAGGTAAGCTGATTTCATAGATTCAATGTACTGATGAATGCTTTCCGCCTAATCAAGAATTTAACAACTTGTTATACCATAGAGGGAATGTAACAAAATGGCATCCCTCATTTATTTCCTTATGATAATTTGTTCTGAGCAAAGGAAGAATGTCACAAGCAATCGAGCATCAACTCTAAACATGTTTTTTTTTTTTTGGGTAAACTCTTAAATTTGTCCTTGGTTCATTAAAACAAGAGGAAAACAGTACATGATACTGGGTATGGCATTTCCACATGGAGAACAAATTACAACTCGTTTGCTTACACTATCCATTGAGAATCTAGAATTCAAGAAGCCAGAGAACTCAAAAAAGTTGAAGGATTCCAAGTCCATTTCAGCACCAAAAACCCAAGGATATAAACAAATAAATTACTCATACAGCCTAACCTAACATAAAGATAAATAAAAAATAATTGAGGTATATCTTTTAGCAAGTTAAATAATATGTGGTGCAGAAAGAAAGGGAAAATCAAGAGGAAAGAAAGGAAGAAAACAGTTCAAAGTGATTTAAAATTGAGATTTTGGTGATCACAAAATCATTCATTTCACATGCTGAATATCAAATACAAATGGGAACAGAGAGAGTTGAATTTATCACGTAATATCCATGATGAAGTGCAATGTACTCATCTTTCTATTGAAACGTCAATTTAAAATGCTATATTAGTCTAACTATACCTTTGCAGCCACATGAACAAAAAAATCATGCACATTTGTCATGACTTTGGGAAGAGATTGCAATAATGAGGATCTGTTATTAGTAATGTTTCTCTCAGAATCTAAAAGAAGCAGTTGCTCCAACTCTTCAATCCACTGGCGGCATTCACCCAGATACTTCTCAAATCTTAAGACTGATTGCTGTAAAAAGGGTGACGGTTTCTTTGGAAGCCCGTAATAAAAATCAAAAACAGGCACTATCGTTGTAGTTGTTGGTTGGCTACTTGAACTAGGTGTTACAGTGGTTCCAGGAGTCTGCAAAGGGGCTGTAGCGCTTGAAGCACCCCCTCCACCAGGATGAAGGAACCTTGGACGTAACATCATAAAAGAACGAATAGCAACCTCTGTGTTGCGTAACATATCCTTAACAACAAACATCAGTTCCTGCAACAAAGTTTTCTGTCGTCCCATGGCAGTACTGATGCCCCCAAGTTCCTGTCAAACAGAACGAAACTGCCATTGTTCCTATAGAATCAAGAGAAAGAGAGCAACTGGTTTTGCTAATAGTTCATCAGGTAAAAAAACAGTTAAACAATAGACGCTGTGTACAAGTGACCGTATCATGAACTTGAAGAAAACTCAAATGCTAATACATCTTTTGATGTCAGGCCTGCAAGTTTTCCCCAAAGTGTTAATTGGGTTCATTTAGTTTGAGGAATAGAAAAGAAAATAGAATTAAACGAGTGACCCTTCTAGATGTGAAATGTCATATATGACCTCAGATAAAAATTAATAATAAAAAAAATGTTGTTATTAAGTAATTATTAAAGGGACATAGTAGACATTTCACATCTTGATTGTCGCGTGATTAAAAAGCCTTTGTGCTGACCAAATGGGCCCTAATAGTTGTACCATCTATTCAGTCTTACATTGTTTATGCTGCAGCTAGCTGCTCTGCAATTGTTTTAGGTGACCCAAAAATTACATCAAACGCACTAAAATTTTTTCCAGTAAATAGGTTATATTCTTAAAGAACTACCACAGTTTAATGAGCATACTTTAAATGAACAGAGCCAACACAAATGTCGATTAACTTTGCTATTACATTTTTTTCGGATTTGAGGGAGAAAAAACAAAGTTATTTAGTTGAAGCACAAAAGACCATTTATCTGAATTATATAAAAGAACGAAACAGATAACCAAACAACCATGGTGAGGCAAAAACAATGAAAAACGAGAATGAAAGATAAATGAGTACCTGAACAATGTGGCTCGCATCAAGCTCAAACCCTTCGTTTGAAATTGAAGAGTCGTAGAGACGACCACACTGATCCAGTCTCAGGCTCTCATCCCTATACTCTAATATCCGCTCCCTGTGTAAATAATTAACACTTCAGCAAAACTGCATATTAACGAATCAAACATTTTTATGTAGAGAAAAAGAGTTGAATGTCTGGATTTTTATCAAATCCACGCCAGATATATTATTAAAACTAGAGGTCACTTTAAAGTTTTAATATATTCCCTTCCGGTGCAATTCATCAGCAGATATAAAGATAAAAATATTATAGCTATAAAAAAAGATAAAAATATTATAGTAAGTTTAAGCAATAGGGAGCTAAAAATTTGCCAATTTTTCAACTACTGACATCCTTAGAGCAGTTTCACAGTTCTACGCATGCGTGCTGCAGATACAATTGAATTATAACTCAGCAGGTATCCGTTAATCCGTTCCCTTCAAAACTACGAAATATGAGAGAATTGTTTAAGCCATAGCTTTTTTTCTCCATTCATATTTTAGTGGGAACTGCGACATATGAGAAACAAACAAGTATCAACGTACTCGATCTGAAGGAGAACCTTCTGAGAATCAGGATGAAGATCCGCCCACTTGGTACTATAATTAGCGGGAGTTTTATCGGTAGTGAACAGAAACAATTGCTGTTGCGGTTGCTGTTGCTGTTGCGGCTGCTGTTGGAGTTGCAATTGCGGTTGCTGCTGCTGCTGCTGTGGAAAGAACAAACTGCCCTGCTGTTGCTGCTGTGGTGGCTGAAAAAGCGGTTGTTGCTGTGGCGTCGAGAACACAGAAAATGACATTGTGTTGTCTAGCTTCAGAAGGGGTCGTATCTGGTTCGGCGAAGGTCCTTCTTCGAGATTTGGAATCGAAACAAAGAAAACCCCACTTTAAACCCTAGAGAGCAGAATTCCGGCCTTCAGGCAAAACACCCACGAGCCAACTTTATGAATTCATTGCGTACTTTTTTTCTTTTTCTTTGTTTTTTTTTTAACCAGCAATCCCTAGCGTACTTTGAAAAGTGCTAATTTAATAGCGAGAATTATTTGGTTATGTTTAAGTTCCTGTTTGATTAAGCAAAATAATCGATTATTTTACTGAAAAAATCGATTAACCAAAAAAATATTCAAACACATGAAAATTATGAAATCGATTTTGTTGGTTAAAATTGATTTTTTTTAATTAAAAATTGTTTTTTTTAAGCTGGCAATTTTCCATGAATAAATGTTGAAAAAATAACAAAGAAAGACCCAAGCAAAAATTATTACAAAGGCAAAAAATTTAATAAAAATAAAACTAATATTATATTTTACTTCTTAAATAAAATGTAACAACTTTAATAATATTAGATACAAATTATCAATAATTTAATTTTGAAATGCATTATTTTTTATGATAATTTATACAATTAAAATTGATTTTGAATAAATTATTCAAATATTTTTAATTATGTTAAAATTAATTTTAAAAAAATGGTATTCAAACAGATTGAGTTATAATATAATTAATTATAATTAAAATCTATCATTTCATAATCTAATATACTTAATTAAAATTCAAACGGACGTTAATTATGATTGAGCATTCTAGGATGGGTTTTAGATTGACTATGGATAGAGGTCAAATCAGACCCAACCCAAACAAGTACCATTTCTGTTTTTTTAAAATTTTTGTGTAAATGATATTTATTTTATCTTTTTTTTTGTTAAAAGTTATCATTTACATTATTTTTTATCATTACAGTTTTTAAAATTTGTTTTTTTACTTAATATCATGTAAAAATAATTTACAATTATTAATTATATGTACCTTTTTATTTTAATAATTTTATAAAAATATATTTTAAATGATGATAATGATACTTTTTTTAAAAAAATTATATTCCTTTAATTTAAAAATATATGGCACTTTTAATCAAATGCTATATCCAATAAAATAGTTACTTACTTTTAAACTAACTATATCTTTTTATATTTATTCCTATTAAATATCTTACAATAAATATAAAGTCATTTATCAATAGGTAAACTTTTGAAAAAAAGACAATAATTATATTTTAAAATATTAAAAATATTTTATATTTTTAAATATATAATTTTTTAAAAAATACCTTATATTTTTAAATCAATGGAGTATATTTTTTTAAAAAAATTCTTGTAAATTTTTTTTTTTATCAATCAAGCTAAACCCTACTCAATACTAGGATATCAGACTGGCCCGACATGCACCAAGCAAGGGTGCAGCCTTAACTATGTTAATCAAATTTTATTGAACCAGAGTAGCCATGTAAACTTTTTAAATTTTCAAAATGTTTGTTTTAATAAAATACTGTGATCACACCACGCTTTTTTTCTGTTTTGCCAGATAATCACGCCTCTCTTGTATTTGTGTTTCTACTCGTCCCTCCAGCTCTTTTTTTTTTTTTTTTATCACTCCATATTATGAGAAATCTGGGATTAACGTGTTTTTACTTTAGAACTATAAAATTGAATAGGTACTTTTTTCTTAAAAAATGTTAATAAAAATTACAATAAATAATATATAATAAGATCTGCATGATATGTAAGATGAAAGTTTTAATATCTCTAAAATGAAAGTTCTGACATTATTAAAATAATGAATTAGTATAACTATTTTTTCCCCTGGAAAATCAAGATATTTTTTATGGATTCAAATCCCCTAAAAATTCAAAATGCCTCGGGTCAAATATGGATGGTCCGCTCAAGACAGTAAACTGCCATCCGAGAATTCTCCTTCCTCGGCCACTTGGAGTAGCATCGCCAAGGTTTGGGATAAATTCATGATGAGTGTGGGCGAAAAGATCCAAAATGGCTCATCCACATCATTCTGGTGGGAGACATGGAGCTCGTTGGAAATACCCCTCATTCAATACACTTTAATTTTAGCAATAGCAACTATCCGAATGCCAAGGTGGCTGATTTTCTTCACAATGATGGATCTTGGAATCTCTCCCAATGCCACAAATTCCTTGATCCCAACATTGTTCGAACCATTACTTCAGTTAGACCCAATGTGAGGCAAGGATCCGATTTGTTTATATGGCGCAATGCTTTTGACAACAACTTCTCGATTAAAGCAACATACAAACTTATCAAATCCCAAGATCACATTCATCAAGACCAGGCTTGGAAACACCTTTAGACATGCAACAACATTGAGAAGATTAAGATATTCCTTTGGCAAGCTTTCCAGGATAGGCTTCCTTCTAACTACATTAGAGCTTAAAGAAATTTAACGAGTGAGACCTTTTGTCCCTCTGCATGTAAGAGAGAGGAAAATACTTTGCATATCTCGAGAGACTGCACAATAGCCCTAGAGGTGTGGGAGACTATTACTCATCCTAACACATTTCTCTCTTTTTTTAATGATGATTTACAGGATTGGATGCGTAGGAACCTGAAGCAGATAAGGAATTGCAACTTCAAAAACTAGCTGTGGCAACAAGTATTCAGCACTGTGTGTTGGTTGCTGTGGAACTTAAGATGCAAATTTACTTTCGAAGGAAAAGAACCAAATCCACATCACACGAGAAGCCTTTGTCTCCACAAACTAATGGAAGGAAGGTCATCTTAAAAACGTCAGGTTACAACTGTTTAAGTCGGCAGCAGAGAAGATACTGCACAGTCAGCCCCTCCACCGGAACCCTCCATATTGATGTCGATCCCTCAATTCTCGACTCTCAACCTGGTGCATGTGGTGGATTAATCAAAGACTCTCAAGGCTTATAGATCTTTGGTTTCAAAAAAAACCTCGACTGTGTCTGTTGCACTGAAGTGGGGTTGCTTGCCATCAAGGTTGGAATGGACACTTGTCATCAACATCAATTCCCCCATGTTCAAATATTTACAGACTCTCTTGAAGCTCTGAACCTCATCGCTAGAGATGGTACTCCTAAATATTCACTTTGGGATATTAGTCATCATATCAAGCGCACCTCAATGGCGCTGCAAGACTTTGAACTCTCTCACATTCATAAAGAAGGTCTTATCTATGCCGACCTAATTTATTGCAAAGAGTGCACACGATAGCGTCACTTGCTTTGATTTTGTGATTTCTGATTGCGCTCCTTCACACATTCATGAAAGGAGTTAATTTCGTTTCCTTGTAACTGTACTCTTTTCAAGCTGTTCTTGCTCTTTCTTATTTCAAAAAAAAAAAAAAACCCCTCTAAAAGTAAAATTGGTGACTTTAGGTAAAGTTTTCTATCTTCAGTATTTTTATTCATTTTATCATTTTTTATAAAATATAAAATCTTCTCTCCCTTTCTCAAGAAGGAAAACTTCACATCCATTAACATCAAATTGAAAGGATTTAAATCCAATTTTTTATCCCTTCCTCTGGCGCTCTAATCAAACAAAACAAAGCAATGTAACTGTATCTGGTAGTCATTATAAAAAATAAAAAAAAAAACCAATTGTCCAATCACTTTCTTGATTTTATAAATTGCAATTTTAAAACAAGACCAAACACTGTGCATGTTTTTTTTTTTTTCAAAATTCCATATTTTGTCAAAACAACAATTACATATAATTTTTAATGTCATGTAATTTTAACACATGAAATGAGATGAGATTCATCCGTGCTCCAAACCGACTTAATATTGTATAAATTAAGGAAGAATATTTATAAATAGATTTCAAGTAAAAAATAATAATTAGTTTCTCAATTCTATTTATATGCCGAACTTCCTATATAAAGAAACTTTCTGCATTCACAAGTAACAAGGGTACGTGCGTGAGTAATTGACTTTTTTTTTTTATTTTTAATTTGAAATGTTGTCTGTGTGTGAGAGAGACACTGCCAACTCAAACTCGAGCTTTGAGGTCGAGGAGAAGGAAGAACACTTCATCAATCTCGAGCCACGGGTTTTATAAGAGGTTTTATAAGAATACATATTTCCATTTTATTATATTATCATGTACAACGCCCACGATACTTGGCCAGAAAAATTTCCCCGGCCACTTGAACGAAATTAGTGGTCTGACTTAAACCAGCAGTTTCCATACACACTAACCCTTGAAAAATGAAAGGCTTTAAGATATCCTTGTATCACATTCCGTGCATTTTAAAAGACTAAGAGAATATTACAAGACATTCAGAAAAAATTCAGTATGTTGTAAAAGCATTTAAAACAATCAAAAAATATTTAAAATAATCTAAAAAATTTTAAAAACTTATGAAGAAATATAAAAATATCTAGAATATTATCAAATATTTTAAAATATTTTAGATATATCTTGAAATAATCTCTAAAAAAGTTTATGTAAATATTTAAATATTTTTATAAATAATTTTAGAGAAATAGTAACAATCCTAAGATTGAATTAATCTACACTGTTCATTTTTATTAAAGAGGTGGAAGTATTTTAAATATAAGAGGAGGTCTATAAATACCTTACTCCTTTATTTTTAATCATCTTTGAATTCCTCTCATCTTTAAATTTTCAAACAATATAAATCTCATGTTTGCCCAACTCTCAATCATCTTTTGTTCTCAAATTTTTTCTTTTTTTCAAATTAACCAAATATCTCGTTTTTTTATAAATTAGATTTATTTAGCATCTTTTAATAAATAGTGTTTAAGTGTTGTGCCGGTTGAAGGACTAGCAGGTGACACTTGTCTTCCTTCATGCAGCTTGGGATATGTGCTCAAAACATGTGCGCCGCCACTTCCTCGGAAAAAACTCCTGTTTATTTCACATGAAATGGCACGAAATAAAATCCCTGGTGCTGCATGACCTGAGCTCCATTTCAACGTCAATGCACAGGTTGACAGGACAAATAAAGATAGCCGAAACTGATCTCGTTTTCCAGCCAACCTTATTGTATTTAAAAACCATCTATCGCCCATCTCTTTTCCTTCTCTAATGTGGGAGAGAAAAGAGGTTTTTTTTCATGTCCTTTCACTTCTCTCATCTCAACTATTTATTAATTTTATAATTTTAAAAAATTTCATTTGATAAAATAATATGTGTGATTAAAATGAAAGAAGTGAAGGACCCTTAATCCTTCCAATATAGCTTGAGGTGGACACCTGTAACTTTTTCAAGTTCATGTGGTAAAACAAAGGTTTGAAAATCACAAAGTCATTGTTCAAGTACTAACGTCTGATTAATTACTGTATGTATCGGTGAAAATCAAGTTACAAGAAATGATATGGTACGTTGATGATTGATTGGGACTATTAAAACTACCAAAATGTGGTTGTTGAACAAAACACTTCTATCCATGACTTTGTAACTTGCAATTCACTGGCTTAAAAGGCAGATAACGTGTGGTCAGATTAAACTTGAGGGAAAAATTAGGTCAACAAAATAAGTCGCATAGAAGGTCAGATTTCAAAGTACATATTTTAAAAAATTGAGTTGAATATTTCGAGTTGAAATTCAACTCTGACTTGGATCCCGAACACCCCCGTTGCATCAGACATATAATATGTCTCAATAAATTATAATATATAACACGACATGAACTTGTCCATATATATGCATCATTTCATGCGCCAATCAGAGCAACTCCACGGCAGCTGCTTGATTTAAACAATACCAGAGAAATGATCGCATATGTGCAATAATAAAAAGACAAAATTGTAAAATGGTGGTTATGATTGGAGGAATAAGAAAGACAAAAGGATAGGGAGAAAAGCATGAGAGAAAAATGAAGGGGAAATTATAAGGGGCATGGCCGGGGACAATTACACTAATTAAAGGTCTCGAAGCTGGCGAAGGTTCATGGGAGAAATGAATCTCTTGTCTCCGTCAACCAGCTGATGGGCGAGTACTAAGTTGGCAGCCTCACTTGGATGGTACGGATCCCAGAACACATGCTTGTACCTATCTGTGCACAAGCTTGACGTTGGCCCACATGGAATTATCCCTGCGTACTGGCCTCCATTTCCACAGCATGCTATACTTGCTGTTCTGAACCCTACCCATCATCATCATATATAACTGTTTGTTAGTTCATTACCATTTCCGCCTTTCGTTATTCCTAAATCCAAGAAGAAATTTCTTACCGTATTTTTCATAATTTTCGATGAGTTCCATCACCAGATCGTACACATTGGCAAGCACAAACGTGGCTCCGGGCAGGTTGTCGTTTAGCTCGGCAAGCAAATCCTTTAATCGATCATTGTATTGAACAGCAAGCTTGTTTGCCAGATCCGCACACTCATTTTCATCCAGCTGATTTATGGTCTTCTGGTAAGGTATGCATCCTATTGGACCAACGTTGGCGATCACGAATTTCCGTGCATCCAGCTGGTAGAGTCTCTGTCACATACATACAATCACCCCAATTTAATTAATATCTCCATGTGTGTGTGGTGCAGTTTTGTTGAGAGTTAATTGATGCATGTGTGCATACAATGAGCTGGGCTCTGAAGTGATTGATCATATCGTCGACGAAAGTATCTGGGCTTTGAGAAACTCTTGCTCCAATGGACACTAATGGGAGAAGATAATTGTTGAGAAAATCATTTGATCCCACTGTGATGGAGAACAAGGATTCCTTCATTATGAACTCCCTCGCCGTTGATTTCCCCATCAATTTATCTATCTCTTTCCTTGTCATGTTGAAGTAGTCTACTTGAACATCCATTCCCAGTCTATTCACCTGAAAGCGACAGTACGTTTAAGTTACGTTTCGCACACGGCATTATGTATTGCTTTTGGATTTGAAGTACTCACAAATATTCTTCCTGTTGCGTTCAGAATCCCTCCTCCTCCTGAAGCGTAATTCACTCCGTATAGTATGGCTTTCCCAGTTGCATTTGGGGCCAAAAATGGCACAGCATAATTTGGTTGCCCCAGTTTCTCCCCTAAGAAGTAAAAAATGCATGAAAAAGAGAACAGAAATCCTAAGAATACACATGCATACATTGAAGACATATACTTAACATAGAGAGAGAGAGAGAGAGATTTAAATTACCTACGATATCACCAATGGTTCTTCCATTGGTGAAGCGGCCGGTGGGTTGTCCTCCGGAGGCCATAAAATCAATTCCATTGGGTGTCATGTTTGCCCTGGACAGAGTTGACAGATAGTTGTTGTTTCCAGCATCCACCAAGGAGTCCCCGAATATGAAAGATGCTCCTAAACTGTCATTCTTGGCCGCATCTCCACGATAACTCAGGTTCATAGCTAAAACTAGAAACACAACAATCTTGTAATAACGCGTCATCCAGGCCATGGCCTTCGCGTTCCCCGACTTCCTTCTAAATTAAAAAGCACTTGAGCACCGATAATGCAAGAGCGCAAATCCAATAGAAATACTTATAAGGAGCCTGCTGCTACTTTATTCGACAGGAGAAAACTTCCTAATGAGCTGCTTGCTTTCGTTGATTTCCAATTGGTTTGACCTTTTTATAACATTTTTAAAGAAGTGGACAATTTGATGACAGGTTTTCATGTGGTAGGTCATCAACATGTATGCCAAGACTTCCCAGTCTCGACGTGCTGCGGTCTTGGAGATTTTGCTTTTACTGATCAGCTGGCTGTCGACCTCAATGTCAGAGAGCCTTAACTTTGTTGATGGTGACGTGTTTAACTAGGCGCCACTGGGGGAGAATATTCTGGGAAAGTTTAGGTGTTGTTTGGTGATGTTGCGTAGTTTGTGTGATGGTTCCCATTGGTCACAGATATGCATGTGTTCGCTTGATCCTATAAATGATGTCAAGCTTCATCTGTATCCAACAACTCAAAGAAAGGGGCTCGGTCCAAATGATGGAAGTAAATTCGATCTTTTTTTTTTTTAATAAAAAAATTACCTTTCGGTCGATATAAACTCAATCTATACAGGTGCTTCACGGTGCACCGCTGGAAAGGGTTTTGGCGGTTTCGGCTTTTGGGTCAATCCTGTGAAGGAACAGATTCATCTAGTAGACCTTAAATAAAATTATAAACATGCCTTGCGTATGTTAGCATTAACACTTTAACGTCATATCATATTATTCAATAAAGTTTCTTTGCGGATGCAATCAGTTAAGGAGAAAAGAGTGGGGAAAATAAACTTTGATTTTCAAGTTTAGATATAATATTTCAAAACAATTTATCAAGGAGGAATGGCACTTAAGGATGATCTAAAGAAATTAATTATTATGAAGGATCATCGATGTTTAAAATGACAAGGAAGATCCAAGTTTAAAAAAGAAGTAAATGAACGAAAATGTCTTTAAAGACTCATTTATTTAAGGCTAGCTAATAAATTACTCTCTTAAACTTTAAATTACGTATATATAACTTTCTTAACATTAAAAATTTTACAATAAACCCCTATCAACTTTTATATTTATACAGATAATTTTATATAATTAATTTTATATATTAATTATCTATACATAATTAAAATTTGAAAGGTTTTTCATATGTCAATCAACATTTAGGGATTTAGATGCACACAAAAATAACATTTAAAAAGGTATATAATTAACGGCTGGAGGTTATTTGCACAAAGCTAAAAACTTAAGAATGTTTATTATTAAGTTTTAAAAGTTAAGAGGTTATTTGTAAATGAAAGTTTAGAGGAGTTTTGCATAATTTAGCTTTTATTTAATATTAAAAATAAATAATTTTTAGATGGTCTATATATTTTATAAAAAGAGATTTATTTTGTAAAAAATTCATAAAAAGTATATATTATTTTATGTTTGGTAACAATAATAAAAAATAATTATTAGTTGGTTATTTTTAAATTTTATAATATATTTCTTAATTTTTATTTTATAAAAATAATTTATTATTTAATTATTTTAAAATTTATTATTTTTCATGAATATCACTTTTTAAAATATTATCTCTCATCTATAATATTATATTATTTTTAAATTTTATTTAATACAAATTATTAAAATAATTAAAATTTTACTTTTTTATGTTTTAATTATTTTTAAAAGTTTAAATAAACATCTTAAAAACTCATAAGATATATTTAAAAAAATTATTTTTTATAAAATAAATTGAAACAAATGGGTTCTAAATAAAATAACTTAGTTGTAAAATAGTTGAAAATAAGTTGTAAACTCTAAAAAATTAGTTGTAAATACCAAAATATAAGCTACAAGTAAGTCATAAATTCTGAAAGTTTTGTGATGTTTTTAAACTCACTGGTAAATGTCAAAAGTTATGCTATAGATTATGGAGAATTAAACGCAAATGATAAAGAATTTTCAAAACTAAGCTTTTAGAATTTACAAAGCTTCCACAATTTATAATTCATGTGTAACTGTGAGCGATCTTCCAAATTTGCAGTTGGGCTTATGCAATTTGTAACTCATCTCGTATCATTAGTAACTGAATGTCAAATATGTTTATACATTTTCGCACATTCACTTTTTAAAAAATGGTATTTCTTGTAATTTTAAAAATGTACGGTCGTTAAACACTATTAGCTTTCCAGTCCTCTTGTCATCCTGTGTCATCTATTTGAATTGAAAATAAATATTTTTTCTATTTAAAAATATAAAATATATTTTTAAAAATTAAATGTTAAAAAATATAAAGTATTTTTAATTTTTTAAATTTTAAAAGTGCTCTTGTTGATGGCGACTTTATATTTATTATAGGATAGTTAATAGAAATAAATATAAAAAAAAATAAAATTAGTTTGAAAATAAATAAGAACTTTATTGAGGGATAAGATTTAATTAAAAATATCTTATATTTTTAAATGAAGGGAGTAATTAAAACATATGAAAATCATTTCACTTGCAAGATCGAAACTTAATGGAATTTTATTTATATAACATATAAAATGTATAAAAAAGAGAGAATTACATTCAACAACCTTTTAAAAAATATATGAAATTTTTTATTGTTAAAATATTAATAAAAACTTATTTTTTTGTTAATACTAATTTGTTATTGTTTTTTATCGATAAATAATTTTTTAAAAAGATCCTTGATATAAACAAAAACACACACACAACCCAAGTACAAACAGGATCTCCTCTCACGCGGAAGTGTTCATCACTTTATGTTATCAATGGAATTATGGCCAAACGGGGGAAAAAATATTTAATTGATGAAATAGTTCCCTTTTTAACGCACAGATGACAGACCTACACACACAGGAGGCCGACCCGTCAGCGCATTGACGCGTTCGCTATCAACGTTCTTCCAAATTCAAATTCCAAACCGACCGTTTGAGATTCAAAAAATCAAAATCAGAGAACGGAGATAAGGGCGAGAATGGCCGCTTCAGTGAAATCCAGTCCCAATACCCCCCAGTTCGGCAACAATGGTCGAACCCAAACGACCGAGAGTCAGAAAATGTCTCTCTACGAGCAGTCCAGAGAGCAAAGAATCAGAGAAAACCGAGAGAGATTGGAAAAGTTAGGTATTGCAGATCTCTCCCACAAGCTCAAGTTCCAGACATCTCAACGGCGCAGCCGATTGGACCCATCGCACTGCAAAACCCCTCAGCGACCATCTGCTCCGAAGTCATCCGGACCCCTTCGCCGCTCTTCTAGGTTGTCTTCAAGCCTCTTTTGATTTATTGTTCTGAGATTATTCCTGAGTCTGCTTATGATTTCTGTAAGAAATCGGGTAACGGGAGCGAGTCTTAAAAAGGCGATTTTCCTGTCCGTACAATGGATTAAAAAATAAATTTATGTTAACCGGGTTTATTCAATGGATATTCCAGCTTCACCTTGCTTCATTGCAGTCGGACATCGGCAAACAAACATCTCAAGTTTGATATTACTTTTATTTTTCCCTCCCGCATTTGATCGACTGACAGTTGCAACAAAAACACTAATTCTTCGTATCTGCGTAGTTTGTTGTCGTACTGATACAGTGTTATCCTGAAAATACATGGATAAATGATCAAACACAGTAGCCGTTCTCTCTTACACATCATCATCACCATCAGGATCATCTTCTTTTCCCTTCATTTCCCCCTTCTCAATATGATTTTTAATGACTCCAGATTGCAGAATGTGGCACCTGTTAGTTACTCTGAAGTGCACCCAAAGAAAGATGAGTCTCTGGAAAATGGAAAGTATGTGACAGAAGCAGGTTCAATGCCAGAGATTTACAACGAAGAACACGAGAAGCTGCTGGGTAACACAGAGAAGCCCTGGACGTTGTTCATGGATGGGTATGGGAAGGATGGGAAACGGATATATGACTCCATCAATGGGAAAACTTGCCATCAGTGCAGGTCAGCTCTAGTTTTTTTTTTTTTTCTTTTTTAAACCTAGAGGAAAGGATTAAATTATCACCGTGAGATCTTTAATAATGTTATCTTGAGGTGAATCGCCTGCCTTCATATAAATTCTATTTTTTAGGGAAATATTTATTTAATACAAGCCCATGCGTAATTGCCCGCCACTTCAACGATTGTGGTTGGTGGGCCTGCCATCTTTTGTCATGGCCAACATGACAGCCATTTTGTCAATAAATTATTTGAAAAACCAACACCTAAAACGTGGCCTTTTAGGCTGTTAGAGGTGATTTCAGCTGGTGGATGCAAGAAACGTGAATCTGAAAATGGTCATCGTGCAAACTGTTCTACTTCTAATTTAATTGATGATTTAATCCCCTTTTATTCTTTTTGGGCGTGTGTTCTTAGGTATTGTGTCTCTATGAATGGCCTAATTGTCACTCCTTAAGTTTATGTCTTTATTCTTTTTTTTACTTGAGAATTTCTCTGAGTAGCGTATCATTAGAGTGGGCGACCGCTAGTTTTCAAAATTGGGTTGAAGCTGCAGTGCAATTGAGGTTAATCTTGTTTAATGCAGCATATAAGTTTAAAGATCCATACTGAGTTAATCCTAATTATATCATCTTCTTCACACATTCAGATTTTGAGTTAACATGTGGTGTTGAATCCACTTATATGCATCCTCTTCCCATTGCACTTGTCCTAATTTGTACTCTCATGTTTTTGACATCACGTCCCATATATAGTCAAGTCTATTCACACGTAATGTCCTAACAACTTCCCCTTCAAGTGAGTCCATACAAACAAACTCCTCGTACTGAAAACACACATAATAGGCTAGCCCAATAGCTCATCACTTTAAGGATGTGGGCTTATAGGTCTTTCAATTTCTGTGGCTCTTATTAAGCCCAATTATAAACCATTCACACTTGACATCCTAACACCTTTTTAAATTTGCTCTTTTCACACTTAGATATCAATGCATGTGAAATTAGGGTAACTTGCATTGGATAAACTTGTTTCTGTTTTCTTGATGATATTGAAAAATGACTGTTGTTTAAAATGGCCTTATTTGAGTCATGATTTGATAAAGCCTACTGTGTTTTTTTATTTCACGATTTTCCTTTGAAGTTTGCCAAGGGTAATTTTGATGGTCTCCTCTGTCATAATATGCAGGCAAAAAACCCTGGGCTATCGTACTCAGTGTAGCCAATGCAGCATGGTACAGGGGCAATTCTGTGGAGATTGCTTGTATATGAGGTATGCTTTCAACAACAAGCTTTTCTCCTCTTACATTATCCACGACACATCCTGTAGTCAATGATGATGTTTTCGATATATTATTTGAACTCTGAAGTCTTTCATCAGTCAGCATGAAGTGTATGACTAGCTTGCCCCGCCCAATCAATTTAAATTCTCTGGCATGTAAAGTCAGCGGATAACTAGAACCATCTTGAATGAGATGATATATCTTGCCATTCATTAGTGTTGATTTAAAATAAGCATCCCAGCAATTTTACAATCTGCCACGAGTTCTTGTAGATATGGGGAGCATGTACTTGAAGCCTTGCAGAATCCAAATTGGATATGTCCTGTTTGTCGTGGAATTTGCAACTGCAGTTTATGCCGTCAAGCAAAAGGATGGGCCCCCACTGGCTATCTTTATAGAAAGGTTACCTCTCGAAGTACTGACCAAATCTTAGCTTTGCTCTATCCTTCATGTCCAGTTCTAGTTTTGCCTTAATTGTTGCCTTCTCCATATACAAGGTATCAGCATTGGGCTACAAATCAGTCGCTCACTATCTCATTCAAACTCGTCGCTCTGGTGCGAATGTGGAGGAAAATGCAGATGTTTCCGTCCCAGTTTTAGCAGAGAAGTCATTGGGCTTCTCAGACGTAGGAGGGTTGTCTAATGATTCTGTCGAAGTCAATGAAAATAATTCTGTTGCGTCATTGAAACTTAAATCCGAAGATGATGGAGGTCAAGTTTCTGCAAAGAGATCATTGCTTTTTTCAGATGTGAAAGATCAGCATGACCAGGATGAATGCTTGGATGCTATGAAACCTCAACCGGAGAGTGATGGAGGACAAGTTTCAGCAAAGAGATCGTTGCCTTTTTCTGACATGCTAGGTCAGGATGAAAAGGTTGCATGCTTGGATTCGAAGATCCCAAGCACGTCTTCTACGGAAGTTAAAGACTGTGTTGCTAGAAGACTTAGACCCAGGGTTCAAAAAACTTGAATTTGGAGGGATGCTTTTTCTTTTTGGGCTACTAACCTACGGTTATTTTGGAAATTGATGCATGCTTAATTTCCAAGAAATGGTACACATTTTGTGGTTTTAACACCGAACTTGAAAATATGGTGGATAAAGAAGTGTAGTGTAGCGTTTCTTTTGTGGTATCTTCTGTGGTTAGTTCAGCTTTCTCTCCTCATGTATATTTTGAAGACAAATGAGGTACAAAATGGAAGATGATTCCTACGAGTTGATCATTGTCTATCTTGCAAATGATGTGTCTATAATCATTTTTTAAAACCAGAAAAAGAAAATCCATTCATCACTTGCAATCATTAACCTTAAATGCCTGTATATTAAATTATTTTGAGCATTGAAGAGGTGCTTTTCTTTCCCCATTGTTGATGAGTGATGAAGAAAGACATTAAAGCCAAACGAGTAAAACAGAGCACGGCTGACGACATGCTAGAAGCCAAAAGACGAGATACCTGCCGCGTTGCAAAATCCGAACATGCAAACAGAAGAGCCAATCAAGAAGAGACTGAAAGAATTGCTCGCTTTTGGTATATGAGAAAGGAAAGGATACATTCAGGAATGGCGCACGTGGCGGCGTTTGGTTTGATGGAATGGTGCAAGGTGCCATTCCTCCAGGGATCACTTGCGGAGATTGGGGAAGGGATGGAATATTACTATTCATCTTGGATGGAAATTTAAAGGCCAAACTGCCCCTCGAACAACTCCAACTTTTCTATATTCTCTATCCAAATCCTTCGGTTAACACCCCATAGCTTTTTGCTCTTTTTATCTTTCGAGAAAATGGTCTAACCCCGGTGTATGAGAGAGATGACCCAAAAAAAAAAATTGGAGCCTAGGTTAAAATTTTGTGTTTTTATTAGTTAAGGATATTTTGGTCTTTGCATTATTCATCTCAATTTATTTGTTATTTATATCATACTAAATATCATAGAGAAAAAAATGATTCTCTCCGCCATGCATACCAAGCATAGTTGTTTGATTTCCATCTCCGTTCAATTCTCCATCTAATATTAAGGTCAATGCTAGATTAGGTCATTGTAGTTTTTGATGAAGAAATTGGAATTTGGAAGCATAGTCAACTTCTGAAAACTGTTTTTTTGGAAGGGAAAACAAGGGGGGACCTAACCATGACCTGGTTGACGGTGTGTACGTAAATGGGTGGTGAACCACCCTGTTCCTGACCAAAGGTTGACCCATCAATATGAGTAGCCTGGTTGAAGCAAATCAATTTCTTTTTCATTCATTGAAACAGACAACCAACGGGATCCCAGGAATTTGGGGACAATCCATATGAAAAGGCCCAATAACTGCACAGTAATCCATCGACACTCCCTATAAACTTGCTCCGACCACAAACACTACCTACCAAAACCTCTGTTCTCACCAACCTTTGGATTCCTTTGCTTTCAAAATTCTTTCTGAGACACCTTTGTTTCGAAGATATATGAAAATTACCAATCAATCGGTCTTACCAAATTTTGACTAACTCGTGCTGCGGAATTATGTTTCCAATAATGTGAGAAATTTTTTTCAGTTAACTGATAGTAACCGTTTATTTAATATTTATAATATATGTGCGCACACACCCCCCCACCATATACAATGAACAATTCAACGGTGAAGAGAAGCAGAGGGTTTCACTTTATTGAGACCATTGAACATCATGCAAAAGCCGAACGAGCAAAATAATTAAAAAAAAAGGGAAGAGAGAAAGAAAAAAGGACTATGATAACAAGATAAAGAACATCCTCAGCTCATGATTTTGAATTGTCAAATGAAGTTGGTCCTTTGGAAAAAGCTAAGATTGTGGTCTAAAGCGCATCATTATAGCTTTTGCGCGAACATGGACAACACAAGATGCACTGAGTTGATGCCCTGACTGAGTGGGTGAGGTCCCCATGGATGGATCCTCCACTGAAGCGAAGTCATTTTCTTTTTCATTCTCAAGACCAGAACACTTCTCCAAAACCCCTTTTTTATTTTCTATTTTAAATTTTTTTATTAATTCCCCTCCCCATTTTTCATGAGTGGGGTTGTGTGTCGGATGGCGTGTTGTGTGTTGTGCCGATTGGCCATTGACATGCTCCCTGCACACCAAAGGATTAACGTACAGGTTCTTTCTCAGTCTCTCTCGCTTTGCCTTGGTTGCTCCCATTTAATTTACCATTTCATGTGACCGTGTTGTGAAGATTGATGTGGTTTTGACCCGAGGGTAATTTTGTCCATTTTAATACTTGATGAGCCCTTTCAATACGATTTCAATTATGGCCCTCGACCTTCTACGCGTACGTGCCGTCCATCTCCACTAAATATATAAGCAAACCTCCCTTAAATAAAATAAAAAAAATTGAGTTAAAGGGCAATATTTACTTTTAAAATATTAGTCAAGAGCGTCTCAAATCTTGAATTTATTTTTAATATAATATTTTTTTTTAAATTTAAAAATAATGCAATATTTTACAGTTAACAAAACTTAACTTTAACTCTTAGTTAATTAAAAAATTTCAGATGAGTGCCATATACAAAATATATAATTCTTTGCTCTTTTATATAATTTTTGAGGTTTTTCCTGTAATTTTTAGGATCCTTTCTGAAAATCTTTAGATTTTTTTATATAATTTTTTAATTAACTAATAATCAAAATTAACATTTATTAATGAATGGGGTGGCATTGTCCCGCTTTCAAAGATTTATAATTTAATGATAAAATCGTCACTTAACCCCCAAAAAAAAAAAAATCTTGATCTTCCTTGTAACTTCTTTGTATTCGCTTTCCCTCTGTTTATTTCGTTACTGGCTCATGACCCTTGAAATGTCGGGCTCACGAGTGGAACTAAAAGACATTAATGCTGTAGTGATTTTTCTATTTTAAAAAACAAAGTCAAAACGGGAGGCACTGACCGAGTAAGCAAAGCAGAGCTTATGAGTTTTGACTGATGTGGAAACTGCCTTTATTAATCGTTCATCGATTGCTAAAGCGTTCTCTTATAATAAACACTGTTTTGTTTTCATTCCTAAACTTCAAATCTGCACCGTGATGTACGTTTAAAAAATTACCCGTGTAGAGTTCAGCATACGATCACGGACGAGTACTGGTTAGGAATAAATCCACCGCCCTTTTGGCTTCCTGTGAACTTATCAGTAATCTAATCCCGTTTCATTGATTTGTGCCGTCAAATATGCGTCCCTTTCCCATCCCCGATATCACATGTTTTTACAAAAAAGATTAAAGGGCAAAACTACTCTAAAATTATTTTTTTAGAAACGTCTAACACTTTAAAATTCTTTTTAAAGTATTTTTATCCTGAACTTTTTAAAAAGAGAGTATTTTTATCCTACTAGTAAAAATTTTAAATGTTGATTGTTAACTGAAGTTTGACCAAAGGTTAAATAGCATATTTGTCTTAGAATTTTTTTTTAAGAGTGTTAAATACCTTGAACTTTTGTTTGCAGCTTATTTACCCTAAAAGTTTCAAAAAGAGAGTAATTTTACCCTGCCTTCTTCTTCATCATTCTCCTCCTCCTCCTCCTCTTGCTCTATTTCCACTAGCAAATTCCCACATTACCATGGATAAGAGTCCAAATACGAAGCTGGGAAAAATAAATGTCTGAAATCTCACATCTATCTTAACATTTGCACCCCTAGAAATGGTCACTCAAGCCCACGATGTCGCCGTTTTGTCCATCAAAGGCAAATCCACCATTTTTAACTTCTCCTAGATTGCCTTTGTTCTTCCTTAACAATTGCCACGTGCTCCCCACATAACATCCAAGCTGTTGTTGTTGCTACAGCTACCATGGTCAATTTTGGTATTGTGAGGCCCTCAAAAGAGTTCGAGTTAAGGTCGAAGTCCACAGAGTCATCATAGTTGTATGAGATAATGGAATTATCGAATATAGAAGAAGAGAGCTTTCATATGACCGAGTTTATATGAATTGACTCAATGAATAGTTGATTGTTTTTAAGTATAGACATGGGTTTGGATAATTTAAAATTGATTGCTATTCATGGAATTGTTTTTGCTGTTATTATTGATGTCAATGAAGGTGTTCTTGCTATCTAGGTGCTTTTTTTTTTAAATGCCGCATGGCAGCATATGGTAATTAAAGTTAAAGTAAAGGTCGATATTGACGGCAGAATAAAATTACTCTCTTTTTAAAACTTTCAAGATAAACAAGCTTCAAATAAAAGTTTAGGATACCTAACACTCTTGAACAAAAAAAAATTCAAGACAAATGTGCTATTTAACCCTTGATCAAACTTAAGTTGATAATTAACATTCAAAATATCAAATGGCAAGGTAGAAATACTCTCTTTAAAAAATTCAAGATAAAAATGTTCTAAAAAAAAGTTTAAGGTGTCAAGCGTCCTGAAAAAAAAAGTTTTAGGATAATTTTGCCCTATAACTCTGACAAAAACTTTGCCAAACAATCTTGAATAAAAATAGTATTCATTTGTTTGAGCTTGTACAGGTTCGAACAATTCGACAGGCTATCCATGTTTTTTACAATATAAAGTGTAGATCATTGACCTTGAGTTGCTCCAAGATGAAAGCTACGCACAAATCGTGAAATGAATAAATTAGCAGCTGAGTCAAAGGGGAGATCTAGCAAAAAAAAAAAGTCAAAGGGGAGAAATATATGGACAAATTAAAATAATTTTAAGCAACTAATCAGGAAGGTGAACAGCCCCACCCCTCCAAAAAACAAAAAAAAAAAAAACAAACATAACTTAAAAATTGATTTGCTGTGAAAAATGACAGAGATCGAGCACGGTTCAAGATATTTTATCGGCTGTATTGATGGGGAGTGTCGTTGATTTGAAATAAGATTTTTTACAACACAATAAAAATTAAACGAATTGGCAAAATTCAATTACAGTGTGATAAAATTAGCGGACCAAGGATTATGAGAAATAATATATAGTAGAATTGATGTGCATCAGCAACATTAGCAAGAAAATGATGGACTTGAATGAAGGAAGAGGGTTGGAGAATACAGGTAGAAAGCTATAATTTTCAGGGTGTGCCTCCTTTTGACAAACAATAAATTCCCGTTCAACAACTCGCCCATTTGCCACTACTAGTCAAACTGTTCCGTGGAAAACGAATAATAGTGTCAAGAAAGTGGAAAACAATTGTAATGTCATAAGTGCTCTCTCTCTTTTCTCGCCACTTTAGCTTCTAGGGTTTTGGGTCTGCCCATCCATACAA